GAAATGAGTGCCATATTCGTAATGAGCATCCCCAAATACCTCGAAAAGGATACCCATATAGCATATTTTGAAAAATCGTGTCCGCCATCTTGGATTTACAAATAAGTGCTATATTCGTTTTTCATCGACAAAACCGAGCACATCTGTAGGCACCTGATCGACAATGTCGGGCAAATCTGTAGGCACCTTTAACTTAATGATGAGTTAAGCAAGATACAATTTCCCCACTTTTGAGGGAAATGTTATTCCATGGCATCATTATTTGTATATTTGTGTGCGTGCCGACGAGCGTAGTTACAAGTTGCTTACGCCTACCTGAATTTGGTTTTTGCCTCACTTGTGACAGTTCGTTTGATATGAAACTATCATTCTATGCGTTATTATTCTAAGTCTAATAGTTTATTTAATACAGAGTATTATTGATAATGTTATCAAAAACTGTTTTATGCGACTATAGGTTAACCTGATTAATTAGGACCTTGTGGAGGTACAATTAAGGCACTAATAAAAAATACAAGCTTAACAATTTTCCACACAGGTCTCCATTGGGTTTCAATGTTCTTATGGCTAATATCCCCCAAGAATGTGTTTCACGGCGAGCGCATTTCGCGGCCTCGAAAAGCGTGTCTCTCCGCGCTCATCGCTTGCGTCTACGTTTTCGCTTACGTCAATCTACAGGAGCTTAACCATAGACAAAAGATGGTAAGTCGTTCTTTTACTATTGTAGCAAGCCTTGCAAGTCTGTCTTTACATCACTAATGCATGAAGTTACAATTTTGACAAAAACAACCTGACTCAGACAATGTAAACAACTTTTTTAAATTATTTGGATGTTTTTACTTAATAAATAAATAACGCACACACTCAACATACTGACAACTAGACAACTACAAATTACACCCAAACTCACGAGATAAATAAATGTAGGCCAGACAAATATTTCTCCCAGCCCGAGAATCGAACCTGGGACCTCTGCGTGGCAGACCAGCATGGTAACCGTTCGGCCACAGAGGCAGTTAAGTTTTTACTTGCCTAATATCTCCAATATTATCTATTCGCAATACTCTTTTTATATATAAAAAATAAGTGCGCGTTTGACCTCCATCTCACCTGATGGAAAGTGACGATGAAGTCGAGGATATAGCATGCACACTTAAATAATGCCTATACACTATCGCCTTGAAAGGTCCAAGTTATAGCGCTCGGGAAACAAGTATTCAAGGGAATTCCGCTCCCTAGCCGCTCATATCACGAAAAGTCGGAGTCATGTGAAAGGAACTCTGTTTAGTGGAAAAAAGACACACCTGCATTTTTTGTGAAATTACTCGTATTGGCATAGCGTCTGACACGGTTTGCTAGGAGATGCTGGTTTCCTTCGATCGAAGGATTTTTTTAAGTATTCGATCATTGTATTCATAATTAATTATAACAAACTATAGTCGAGCCAAGACAGTAACCCCTTTTTGTGACAGATAGTTTTATAGTCGTAACCAGTGAGCTTGTTTACAAGTATAATAAAGGTCGTAAAACGTCCACTTTAATTAGTATCATTAATTCCGGCATGGTACTAGTTATTAAAATAGTATAGAAATTTAGAAGTAGACAAATCCGTCTGAGATCACGAAGTACAGAAACAACAAACAACAAGACGCATACAAGGCACTTGTATTGATGTGCAATATGCAGTGAGTGCAACATACAGTGTTACCAAATAAAATGTTTACTTTACCCATACAAGTTTTGAGAATTTTCTAGTTACTTAAATCATTTGTTAATTTTTTTTCGGCAAAATTAACATAACACGAGTAAGTAGTCTTATGAACTATACCATACTACATATATTTTTTAATCACATAATAGTACTATCTTGTTGCTTGCTGGACATCACTAGGTTTAAGAAAAAAAACCATAGAACATAACCGTATAAATGACTTATCATAAATGCAAACTAGCACAACTATAATGCAGATATTAAATTAAATTATGTGTTATTGTAGTTAAATACTGGCTGAGTGAAGAATTAGATTTCTAACAGATGGCGCTCCGACAAAAAAAGTCGTTAAAAAATCCAAACAAAGATCTACAACAAACACATACAAAAATTCGTAAGGTCCACTGGGTCGCTCCGTGGCTTAGTTGGGATAGCGTCTGACACGGTTGCTAGAAGACGTTGATTCGAATCCAGCCGGATCGAAGGATTTTTTTCTGTGTTCGATGTTTGTATTAATATAATTATTATTGGTTTATGTACAGTTTTATTCAGTTTTTTGAGCGCTATTAACAATGTACTTAAAATTTTGCTATCTCTAAAACATCACCCAGGGCACCTTCAAATTAGACTCTTATTAGAAGCGCTGCTGTGGCGCCACTGTGGATGTTTTTTTTGTGTAATACCAAAATTGGACATAGTTATGCAAACAAGAACCAACCCACACCTCAAGTGAAATTGAGTTATGTATTTAGGTAGAACACCAGACGTGTCCTTTACCCACTCACAAAAGATCCTGACAATGTACCAAGCCAAAACGGAGAAAATAAAAGTCCTTCAGGGTTCCAACCCTAAATAAAAAAAAACCCTAAAAACAGCAGCGTGTTCTGAGGTGGTGTTTTTGAACCTTGAATAAAAATGTGTTAATTAAATTTTTTTTGAATTGATATTCAATTATTTTTGGTGAAATTATTTCACTAGTTTGTTATAATTATTAATACAAAGATCGAACACTCAGAAAAAATTCCTTCGATCCGGTCGGATTCGAACCGACGTCTTCTTGCATACCGTGCCAGACGCTATACCAACTAAGCCACGGAACGAACCAACGGACCTCACGAATTTTTCTATGTGCTTGCGTCGTGTCTTTGTACTTGGTCTTTCAACGACTTGTGAAAATGTGTTCCTAATATTCTCCGCAGGTGACTTTCTACGTGGTGATGTGCGTGGAGAACTGGGTGCTGGTGATGGCCTGGTACTGGTCGGGGCGTGCGGCGCGGCCGCCGCCGGCGCACACAGCCGCCGCCGCCGCCGCAGCCTTCCTCGCCGGCGTCGGATTCATGCTGCTTTACTATAGGTATGTCGTGTCAATTACACAAAATTCGCATTGTGAATAAATCATAATGTACCAGACTATGAAATTCAAAACCAATGTAGAAAGTTAATTTCCCAATTTGGTCCTACCGGGAATTGAACCCTTACCCGGGACATAATAAAAATATGCTTACAAAATAAGTTATTAATAGGCGGTAAAGCGAATATGCATTGTGCATAGGTAAGTCACTTTTTCTAGTGCCATTTAAAGTAAAACAATAAAACTTTAGTTTTTTTTTTCTATCCATAGACCTTTTTAAAACAACTTGGCTGTATGGCACTAAAATGGCGAGATTTTAACCGACTACAGAGACAGAGACGGGAGGTTCTTAATTGAAATATTAAATAAATATTTTTTTTGTAAATATGATTATTGCGCGATAACTCATTTGCGAACCGATTTGTTGATTCTTTTCTATTAGAAAGAGGGTACCTCAACAGTGGCCCCATTTAAATTTGAAGAAAATATCCCACCTCTAAGGGTGGCAAACAAGAGGATGAATGACTTTTGTGGTCGATTTTTTAGTACTCTGTACCTCGATTATTAGTTTTAGTATATTACGTTTTGACTTTCTTAATTATTTGTTACCTTTTTATAGCCAATTTTTCTGTAGTCAATGCTCAATAAATAAATAATTTAGAAAAATTGGTTGTAGGCCATTTTTAGTATTGTGCGCAATGATACAATATTTAAAACTTTAAGGTAGCAATAAAAGTATTTTTTATGAATTTCGCAGACTAGACAACATTTTTTCTTAATTTTTAATTAAGTTTTCTAATGCACTGTCCACTTAAACCGGCGTGTTTCGTTTTTCAGATATTTTCACGTACGGAGACTGGGCTATATGCTCGGAGAGAACCAACAAGGCACTAATAGCACGAACGCGTCGTCGCAGAACAAAAAGGGTAAGTGTTTTTTATTTGTTTTTTTTCTGTGTAAACCGCCGAATATGCACCTTATGGCAAGTACCCATCGTTTATGGACATTTGCAAGGGAGTATCGATACCTCTAATCAGTGTTGCCATGTGCACCGTAATTACGGTAAATACACCGTACTCTATACCGTCGACGCATGACAACGGTGACAAAATCTTGTAGTAAAACTCAATTAAGGAGGTGCGAGATCGATATATGCGGTTAAATTAATAATAACCCGCTCCATAAAAGGGAATCTTTTAACGCAGCAGTTTATCCAACGGCATGGACAAGCTGCGTCAATTTTAAGCCTGACGAGGAAATGCTTAAAAGATTAAATCAACATATTTATAAAAATGAAGAGGTATTTACAGAAAATTGTATTTAACTGTCGTTGATTTATAAAAATGATCAGATTTAGGCTAACTTTAATAATACATCTCCTCATTTTTGTAAATGTTCAATTCATTTTTTTTATTATAATTCAAATTTTCCTTTAGAATGAAAAGTAAATTATGCATTTATAATTATTATTTTTTGCCCAAATTGAAGATAAAGTATGCTAGTATACTCTACCATGCCGGACTGCTACGCAAAGGTCGCAGGTTCGATTCCCGGGTCGGGAGAAATATTTGTATGGCGTACATTTATTTCCCTCGCAAGTTTGGGTGTAATTTGAGGTTGTCTATGAGTATGTCCATGGCACCCGCGACACAAGGTTTCCCTAGTGCGGGGGGGACTATGTTGAGTGTGTGCGTTATTTATTCATAAAAGCTTATTTCGGAAAAGTTACACTATTGAAAGTGTAATATACCGTAATTACGCTGTTTTTTTTTCTGACCCGATACACCGTAATTTCTTAGGATCTACCGTTATATTTATCATATATTTATCATATTTATTTACTAATATTATATTATTAAATAAATATGGCTGTTTACAGAAATAACAGAAAATGACCAAAAAATAAAGTTCATACGAGGTATCGATTTGTCACATACCGTGTATCTTTCAACCCGAACACTAGCAGAATTGTCCTCAGTGAGACAGAAGCCGAAACCCACAAAAACTGTATTGAATTTTGCGGACAGGTAAGCAATTGGGTCAAGCAGACAACGCAGCGATCCCAGGTGTGTTCAACTGCCGATTCGCGAACCCCGCCGGGGGCCGAAAGAAGAAGAAGCCGACGTCTTTCGTGCCGCCGCCTGCCGCCGTCGCCCCCGCCCCCGCTTCGGCTTTCTGGAGGAGGCCCCTTCCAGCCGCTCACAATCACCATGTAAGTCTCAGCTCAGTTGGGAGTTCGGATCCAGCTGGATCGAAAAATAAATTCTTCCGGTTAGTTTACAACATAAATATTTTGTACTGTCTCGTGATTCTTTGTTGTGTACGATTGATAACAACTATAATACAAGGTGTAAAAAAAAATTGATTTTTTTTTTATTTTTTATTATTTTTTTTATTATATTATTTAAGTATTTTAAACCGCATTGAGTACAGTTTGTAACTTTTTGCTCAATTGGGACTTGTTTAGTCAAACGTCCTGCAGTCAAACTGTATATTATACAGTTTTGTAGGACTATGTTTAGTTAAGTATATTGTATACCTTTTTAAATTCTAATAATAAATAATAAATAATGCATTTTTTTTTATGCTTGTTCGATCTTTCTATCAATAATAAATTGTTATTATTACCTCCTCCTTTTTTGAACTAGGGGATGAATGACTTTTGAGGTCGGGTTTTTTTAGTACTCTGTACTGTTTTGTTATTACATGTCAACTTTTATACAACCTTTGTTTTCACACGTAAATTAGCTATAAATTACTGATTAATTACTTCCAGGGTGGTTCATCAGAGAACGAGGGTTCAAGCGTAGGCTCACGCGTGAACATACAGCAGAAACTGCAAGAGAAAAAACAAAAACAACTCGCCGAACTTCGCGTCATTGAAGAAGAAATCAAACAGGGCAAACTTGCCCGTACCACCCCCGCACCACACGAAATATACTCCAGTCTGCAAAGAGCCCCCATACCTCGAGCCAAAACACACGCCACCACCACACCGGCAACACCCGCCATACCCCTACCCGCTCCTGCCTACCAAAACTACCCCATACCCCACACTTGTAACATATACCCTACTTACACAGAAATAAAGCCCGATTACACTGTTCAAAATTTCCAAAACGAAAACGCATCAGATCTAAACGATGTGAAACTTCGCAGACTAAAATACGAAAACCCCAGAACTTTCTACGAAAACCCAACTAACCTACGCAATGATATCAACCGCACACCGATAAGATCACCAAATTATTTAATAACAGAAACCCGTTACGAGAACGGGTGCAATAGTCCCAGAAACGTAACAAACAGCCCCAGAAATTATAACATACCAGATGTGACTAACAACTACGATATTGACAAGCCCAGAATCGTACAGACCAATTCAATATATCCAGAAGAAAGGCAGAATTTGGGTGAATATTCTAGTTATTGCGAAAATCAGAATTTTAAATACGAATCGAAAGACCAGTACGTATCTGCGTTGCACAACGCGCTGTCAAATGTGCAAAGTATAGATAGTATTAGAAATGCTTACGAAAGTTGTAATCAGTACGGACAGAATTGCGAGAGGGTATTTTACGGAGGACTGGGAGGGAAGAAAGATAGGAAAATGCAGAGGTGCCGCACGCCGGAAATTTTATTAGCGCCTCACTATTTGGAGGGATGCAATCGACAGGTCTGCTGTCATTGGGGTCCGCCTTATACGTGAGTATTTGGAATAAATATAATTTAAACCCGGTGATTAACTATATTACTTCTAAACCAGTCATAGTCTCTCTATAGACAATTTTGTTCTTTGTTTCCATATTTTATTTCACTAAATTCGGGAACATCGAGTACATATACCAGAAATAGAGACAAAATGTCATTTAATTTGTTTAAAAACTATTCTGCCAAATCATTACTGTGATAACTGTGCTCCGATTGACCAGACCGAATTCGAAACAATTGACGAAACCCGTCAACCCCGTTTCACTTCAAATCGACCAGTTTAACTTGACCTTTGCTATAATGGACGAAAATTGCAAAATTACATATCTAATTACGGATGAAATGTGATTCCGTTTGTTTTGTAATTAGATGTTTTGCTGTTTTTCCCACACCACCATCACCTAATGGAACAGCCCCCATTGTTACACATATTATCTTTATTACAATAATTACAGAATATTTTTGGAATATACGGAGACGTACACACAGGTCAGTTGTTGGCGCTGTACTATTTCAGTTTTATAATTTGTGATTTGATATTTGCAAAAGAGAGTTGATATTTAAAAGTGATATAAGGCCCATTTGCCTGATGAGTTGCCAGGAATGGATGGCCCTTATTTCGTCTCTATTTCTGGTTATATACTCGATGATTGGCGGTATCGAAAGGTAAGATTATTCTAAAGGCGACAACCTACCTTTTGTTTGACAAGCATGCCAACATACGGTCATTTTTGTTTGTCAAAAACGCAGCCCGTCTAGATTTCCATCGACTGCATCAAACACGATCACAAATGTCTAAAAAGATTGACAAACTTCAGTTTATTTACTAATATTTTACTACCATGATATTCAATTATTTTCTTTTGTGAAATTACTCGTTGTGATCATTGACTTACAAATAAATGGACGACGGGTCTAATACAAAAACCACGAAAAAAATGTCCCAAGTCAACCTATTCGAAATTTAAATTGTTATGTCATCGCAGTATCGCGCTGTCCGTAGAACAAATGAAGACTAAAGCGGAGTGTCGCGCTCTGTATACGATTTTAGCGCCTTACAAGTGCGGACACTTTTTAGCGCGGACCCGACGTCCATATAATTATAAGTCAATGGTTGTGATAGTCAATAATCTTTTTATATTACAATTATACATTATATTACAATTATTAAAGCGACTTTTCTAGTCAGCCGCTGGTAGCTGTAAAGGTACCTTGACTGAGTGGAGAAAAACTTTCATAGATCGCTCACAGATGGCGCTACGGCAAAAAGTCGTTAAAATGCCAAAAACAAAGCACAGCACATATAAAAATTCGTTGGATCCACTGGTTCGTTCCGTAGCTTAGTTGGGAGAGCGTCGGCCTTGTATGCTGAAAACGCTGGTACGAATCCAACCGGATCAAATGAATTTTTTTTTGTGTTCGACCTTTGTATTAATAATTTAAATTTAAACCTTTGTGTTAAATTTCTACCCTAAAGCTGCCTGGTAGCAATTTGCTACTTAGCAATAAAGCCGCCTATTGTACATTATCTTACTCTGCGATTACATTGTTGTTCTATGTTGTCATTGTAAGTTTTAATGTGCAATAAAGAATATTTCATTCATTCATTATTATTTGACAAATTTGATAATTTACAAGGTGCTTCCACCGAATTAGTTATTATGGAAAAATAAATTGGAAATATTTGTTACCTGCATTAATGAACAAAATGAGTGAGGAATTTATATGTAATTATCAAAACAACAAACACTATAAATCATACATTAAGAAACATTTTTTTAAAACTGAACATATAACTTTTTTTTATAAATTGCGTAATTGTTATTATATGCACATGTAAGTGAGCATGTTTTTGTACCTTTCTAGAAGTAATTAAGTAAGTTTTTTTAAAGATTTTTGCTCTATTATCTTGTATCTTTACTTAAATAGAGTGAACTCCTTCGCCGCGGATAAAGCCGGAAGGGCTTTTGTGAGTGAAGCTTGTAATTAGTAAATAATTATTTTTCCTGTATTTTGGTCAATAATAAGAAAGAAGAGTAGATTTGAGACAGGTCGCTATTTAAAAAAAATCGATTTATGGTTTAATTTTAATGTTATTCATAAAATATTTATTATCTATTATACAGGAGTAGAAAGAAAGAGGAAGGCGGTGGTAGCAGTGGTGAGGAGTCCAGCCCAGAAGCGCCTGCCAGAGAAACACCCAGACCGCCCAGCGATATCGATAGTCAGGTATGTTTTTTTATTAACCTATTGTATCTCACTACTGACCAAAGGCCTCCTCCAAATTCCTCATCTGCTCCCGGTCGTCATTGAACCCACTAAAACCTCCCAAAACTAACGAAACGAAAGCATTGGCCTTCTCGGCCGATCCCATAGTCGCCTTCCGGCCTCGGGTACCCAAGTAGTGTCATCGACCTCAGAGCCTAGATGAGTGACACGTTCACCCACTTCTCGGGTTGTATCCGGCCGCGTATATGGCTTGCCGTATAAAGTACATCCTCCAAGGAGAAATTAAATAAAAGAAGAAAGAAATTAACTAAACTACAGAAATATCGTACACAGTATGCCTGGAACCGACGAGTTAGATGCGCTTTTTTTGAGTGAAGTATTCGCCGACGAATCAGAGACTTTTTTTATAAACGTTTCTTGCGAAAAGCCGTACCTACCTAATTCATCGTCAATTAATGACGAAAATGGCTTCTTAATGGCTATAAATAAATAATGTAAGGAACATTTAAATCTTAGACTTTTTTATATAATAACAGGTAACTGTCATCAAAAAAAGTCGTGCGCCGTGCCGAATGTAGACAGGCTATCGGAAAAAATAGTTTCAACTTATGTCTCAGGATGACGGACGCAGTGGTACTGAGTGGCACTCTGTCCTTCTTATTATAACCGACGTAATCGACATTGCTAACGAAATTAAGTTATTAACATAATCTGGGATCAGCGAAACGAGATCTAGGTACAACCCCCTCTAATCGGTTTTTTATTTCTTATTTATTTTGAGTTATATTTTTAAGTACAATCAATCACTGATATTCTTTACTAGCAAAAAAAGAAGCCAATATCTCGAAAGTTACCGAAAAGCAAATACGTTAGTTATAACAAGGAAGGCAGCACTGCAACTGTTATGGATAGGCGTGTCGCTTACCAGCAGGCGCAAGACTTGTCCGTCCCGTCACTTGGTGTTATAAAAAAAATCACAAAATCATGTACGGACAATCGAGGCTGTTCGCTATCGAGCCTAGAATAAGACTAGCTCGCACCCGGCGCACTAGAGACGTGCATCGCTTTCGCATGCAATCCACTCTTGCTTATCTAAGACGGGTATGTTTGCGGTGGTTCACACGGACAGCTTCCAGGCCATCATGCGCAAAACGATTGTCTCGCTGATGAGACGCGTGAGGCTCAAAGTAGTCTGTGGTACTATGCTATAGCGGGAAGGTATGCTGCCGTCCACTAACCGAAACGCGGCTAATGTTCAAACATCCAATTTAAATAGCAAAAGATAGAACACAAAAGTCTCTTTTAAAAACAGTTAAAATTAATTAACGTGTTCGACTTGTCGGAACTAATCTTAGAGGATGGGAAAAAAATAAAAGAAACTAACCTATTGACGTGTAGGTGAAATATCATCAAACAATTTCAATATTCAAAACTGGGTTATTGACTTTTTATGGCATCTGAAAAAAATATTTTGTCACTTCAGACGCGTTTTAGTTATATATTATATATAACTGCCTCCGTGGCCGAACGGTTACCATGCCACGCAGAGGTCTCAGGTTCGATTCCGGGGTCGGGAGAAATTTGTGTATGGCCTACATTTATTTCTCTCGTGAGTTTGGGTGTAATTTGTGTTTGTGTGTCCATGGCACCCGCGACACGGTGTTTCCCTAGTGCGGGGCTATGTTGAGTGTGTGCGTAAAAAAAAAGAAAAAAGTTAGCGAAACGGCAGTATGATTGTCCTATCCTGAAACATTGGATAGTGCAAGTTAAGAACGTACGAACTAACGTTTTATGGTCCGAAATAAAGAATTATTATTAATTATGAAACAAAGATTTTCGAAGTACAAAGACACGACGCAAGCACATAGAAAAATTCGTGAGGTCCGTTGGTTCGTTCCGTGGCTTAGTTGGTATAGCGTCTGGCACGGTATGCAAGAAGACGTTGGTTCGAATCCGACCGGATCGAAGGATTTTTTTCTGAGTGTTCGATCTTTGTATTAATAATTATAACAAAGTAGTGGAGTAATTTCACTAAAAATAATTGAATATCAATTCAATAAAAAAATTTAATTAAAGATTTTCGAGTTTATTTTGAACTATGCTTCAGATTTCCCTGCCGCGGTCTTACACGCTGCCGCGCGAATTCCGCTACTGGCGGCGACGACCGCGGCTGCGCGACACCCATCTGCCCAGCAACAACAGCAGCGATGGTGAGTTGAAACTTGGTTTTACTTTATACGGTAGTTAATAAATGTGTGTCCTAATAGAATCATATCCTTATCTTGCAACAAGTACAAAATATAAGGGTTGAACATAGAGCTTACATATGGGAGATGGGAGCCCAAACTAGGTACGTGCTCTGCTATGGCACTCCTGCTGGCTCCCCAATCGCTAATAGTACAGCAGTAAACAAAAATAAGGTTATGTGACAGAAAATGAAATAGAATAAAACCCTTACCGTGTACCTGAAGTTATAAACAGGAGGCAACTAAATTAGAAATCATTAAAAAAATCAAAAGAGACAGCCAACAATATTTAATGTAATATAAATTGATCTATTTGAAATTATCGAAATTTGTGAATCTAATTTCTTTAAGGAGTTTCTCACAGGTGACAGTGACGGCAAAATAAGTCGTTTAAACCCAATGCAAGAACAAGCACATAGATTTACTTCGAAATTATATATACTTGTATATATACCGCGACTTCGTCTACGTAGAATAAAAATTTAGAGTAGCCTTCTGTACTATGTACTTAAGAAATTATTAGTTCTCCATATTAACTTTCATTAAAAGTTAGACTATTCCTTCTCCTACACACATCAAAAAAAGTTTGCGATCAATAGCATAAGCTCCTATAATTCTTTAAATTTAACTTTATCAAGAAAAAATCTATGTTGTATGCTTTCTTTAAATAGGAATACCCTGTTTGAAATTAAAATATAAAACTATTTTTTATTATTTATTTTTAAAAATTGAGCCATTAATCATAATGTAATAGTGATAGAAATTTCATAGAAAGAAAATGACTGTTTAATTAAACTTAAACAACAATTTATTATTAAAAGGTGTGAATTCAATATAAAATAACTCCTCTCCTGGCTCGAATACATGCGAAGATCCTCCTGGGCATGCTGAGGATCAAGTTATCCAGCATTTCCTGGGGTAACCTATCCCATTCTTCAATAGCGGCTTCCCTGAGCTCTGGAACTGTCTGGGGACGTGGCTCACGGTTCCATACTGCTCGTTTAAGAGCATCCCACGCGTGCTCTATTGGGTTTAAGTCGGGCGAGCCGGCAGGCCAGTCTAATCGTGTGATATCGTATTCTTGAAGAGCAGCATTGACTCGTTGAGCTCGATGTGCGGGCGCATTATCATCGACCAGTACAAATTGGTGCCCATGGTTTACTCGGAATGGTCTGACGATATCATCAATAGCAACTGCTTTGTACATGTCTGCTGTCATGAAGCCCCGATACGGGATCAAAGGCGTTCTAGCTCCAATCATAATGCCACCCCAAAATGACACCGATTTTCCGCCTTGCTGAACTGTTCCAGTGGCAGTTCTTTGTCTTTCACGGTCGCCTGGTCTTCTCCAGATACGGACACGTCGGTTATCTGGATGAGTGCTGATTCGGGATTCGTCAACGAAGAGACAGTTTTGCCAAATGTTTTCGTCCTCACCTTCTTCATTTTGCCGAAGTCTAGCCCACTGCAATCTTCGTTGTTGACGTTGCCGGGAATTGAGCGGAGCTCGCCAAGACCTCCGTGCTCGTAATCCAGTCTGGTGCAAGCAATTGCGAACGGTCTGCGTGCTAACTTCAAGCCCAGATGCGGCCCTGACTTCTGCTTTTATTTTAGTGGCGTTGATTGTTGGATCACGGGCTGCCAGCAATCTAATATAGCGCTTTTGGGCAGCTGTCAAAACAGTTGGGCGACCGCTGCGGGGTCGGTCAGCTAAATTCCCCATTCCGTGATACCTCTGCAACGTAGCCACGACACAGGATTGGGATATAGCAAGTCTGCGTGCTATTACTCTCGTGGTGTATCCTTCTCCCCTCAAAGTTACTATTCTAGCTTGTAAAACCTCTGATAATCCTCTTGGCATTTTTTCAATCACAACTTTCCGCGAAAAATATCTTGAATCGCTTATAATTGACTAAATCAGATTTCTGAATGAGCGTAAGCTAGGACTGAAAGCCTTTTTATATGAAAAAACAATTGAACGGGGTCATTGTTTTATGTTCTAATTTATTTTTAAATAAAGAATCTAAAAAGAAGAAAAAATCATAATATAATCTACAGTAACAAAAAAGATTTCAGTTTTTCGAAGTGATCGCAAACTTTTTTTGATGTGTGTATGTCCCATCTATCACTATACCAAAATTAATCAAATTTGGTTCAACTTTGGTTCCCCTATTGTTTCTTGCTTTTGTTGTAGTGTGCAATAACAAAGTGTATTTTTAACTAAAAATAACGGATAATAATAATAATATCTTTATTAACACTTTTGCCTTATAATTAGTACAGAGCAGCAATTTATTATTTATTTAACAAAATTTTATTGGTATAGATATAACGTAGCACAAAATATAAAATAAGGTGTACCAAATTTAGAGATTCTGCCTGGTATAGATATAACGTAGCACAAAATATAAAATAAGGTGTACCAAATTTAGAGATTCTGCCTCCTAAACTAATCAAAGACTGTATCTTAGAAGGCAGTGTTCAGTTAGGGGTAACTATTACAAAAAATCAAAACTTCTATTGAATCCAATCATTATAAAGTATATAAATATAAGTGAGTCTGTACGGTTATGGTTTACAACTACAGTGAAAGGCATGCGTGTAACAAAAAAGAAAAAAATAAGATTTTATAATTTCTAAAAGGGTGATTCTAATGAAGAAGTAAGAAAATAAAGAAAGAAATAAAATATACTTCGTGATCTATATAAATAAAAATAAATAAATGGCTGTGTAAGTGTGTGTGTGTGTGAGTGAGAGTGTATGTGTATAAGGATTAATTCAATTCAAGTTAAAATGAAATCAAGTTCAAGTTTAAATTAAAAGTAAAATTTACTAATTTTATCAATTTAATAATTATAATCTAGTAGAGCTTCAGTACTCGTGTAATCAAGAGTCTTTAGCCAATTTTCCAATTTAGATTTAACTTCGTAATTGCATAGGCCAACGAGATTGTGAATTTTATGTAATTTATTGTACAGAAGAGAGCCTATAACAAAAAACTGTCTACTTGCAAAGGTGGTAATATGGTGCTCACCATGACATACGAGTCTTTTCAGACGTTGATTAGATTGTCGATAACTCACGTATTTAAGCCGATTTTTTTTTCTTCCAATTCGTGAAGTTAGAATTCGTGGTCTTTAATCATGAGATTCCGCGGCGGTGACTCGACGTAATGATTAAGGACCACGAATTGGTTCGATATATGTCGAGCAAAAATTCAACTTAAATACGTGAGTTATCCGTTATTTTTAGTTAATATGTCTGAGTCTGACAGTGGTTTTGTATTTAAAAGTGTATTTTTATTGTATTTGGTGCATTCATAATTTCGAGATAATAGCTATTTTAATGTAATTTTAAGTTTATTTTAATAAGTACCATGATCATTGACTTACAATTATATGGACGTCGGGTCCGCGCTAAAAGTGTCCGAACTTATAGGGCGTTAAAATCGTATACAGAGCGTCATTCACGCTTTAGTCTTCGTTTGTTCGACTGACAGCGAAGCAAGCAAGATTAGACAGTACTGCGATAACATTACAATTTAAATTCAACGTTTTAGCTTTTTCATATTCCTTTACATGTCACTACGTTTAAATAGGTTGACTTGGGACATTTTTTTCGTGGTTTGTGTATTAGACCCGTCGTCCATTTATTTGTAAGTCAATGACCGTGATATAATTTTTTTTGGGAAATTACTCCACTAGTTTGTTCTAATATAATTATTAATACAAAGATAGAGCATTAAGAATAATTCCTCCGATCCGACTGGATTCGACCCGGTGCCTTCAGCAAACCGTGCCTGACGCTCTACCAACTGAGCTACGGAACGAAATAGCAGAGCTTACTAATTTTTCTATGTGCTTGTTGCAGATCCTTATTTTTTGTTTTTAACGACTTTTTGCTATAGCGCCATCTGTGAGAAATAGATGAAAACTCTTTTATTGTTAATGTTATTTATGCATTGAACTGGGCGTATTAATAAAAATGTAATCTGCCTATTCTCCAGGCGACGTGGACAGCGGCGACAACGACAGCGATCGCCGGTCCAACTGCTCTGCAACATCGCAGCTGCAGAGCGCAACATACGAGGGTTTTTACCCGCGAGAGTTGGATAACTACCACGAGAGGCGAAGACGGCCTGGGTTTCGGAAACAAGGGCCTAAGCCGGAGACTAAGCTATAGCCACAATATATCATTAGTATTAAGAACAGTGCAGCCAAGGTCACTGTTTTATGTAGTCACATTCAGAGATAGACAGTGGGTTACAGCAAAATCAACCCGCCCTGGTTTTAACCGTGTTTTTACCCATTTCTGTCAAAAATCGTAGGCGGAAATGACGATACGATAACATACTTTTATGAAACGATGTTAAAAATATTTTTAGATGAAAAAGAGGCATGTCCACACAACAGTACCTACCTTCCAGTCCTGTGGATTCTCACTAATAAGGATGCATATACGATTCGATTCTTATGAAGATCGATTCAAGTGCAATACGATCTAACGATTTTTAGTATCGATTCATTTCAATGAGGTTTTTAAGCGGATACGATTCAATAGGAAGGCAAATCATCATTTTATAATAATATCATTTTTGAACAAAACTCGATTTACAAGTTGTAAACGTTTTTGCTCTCGATTTTGAGCGTTAATGGATTTTACCAGATTTAAACCCAGCTTATCAAAGCGCCGGGTTAAAATCCGAACGCTTGCCCAATTTCACGGTCACGTTCTTTATTACAAATACGAGTATACCTAATTCTATTTTCGCAGAAAAAAAAATCATGGAAACTTTTTTAGGTATGTAATATTACAAAATTTTAACAAAAGTTTAGGGAGACAATTTGGTTGTGATTTCACTATATATCACGTTTTTCAGGTTTTCTGTTCTCGAAAGCTGGATGTTAGTTTGGCTTTTCCACAAATACCAATACCGACAAAAGTATATAATATAAAAAATAAAAATATATAAATAAATAAGGGGTGAACCTCATCGAACGTACCTTAATAAGACCGAGGACGTTTTTAGCAAAAGCCAGTGGCGAGACGTGAAAATTGTCGTTAGTCAAGCCGGAGCTCTTATGACGAGACGAACAAGTCGTGCGACATGCCTGTGAATTCGACCTCGGGGTCACCGGGGCCGTCAAATATAACTTATCATTAATGGTGATGTTGGCCTGAGTTTTTTAAGAGGTCTAAGTCAGAAACTAAGCCATAGCAACGTTAATATTCGGTACCAAGGTTTACGCTTGCGATAAATTGATAAATATCATGATAGGTGAAAATGGGCCGGCTTTAGGAAACAAAGGACTATTCTTGGAGGATTTTATAAAGGAGAGCGATTTAGAGGGGTGAATAGGAGCTCGGCGATGAATATGAAATGGCTTTGGTTGACTCCGCATAACAGTGACAATGTTGAATCACTTTGGAAAAAATATTTAGTAAAATTGAGGGTATACACTGATTAGTATACGATGTGAAAACACAATTCCTAAAAATTTTCACGGTAGAAAAAAAAACACGAACTTACCTCGAAATTTGATAAGAAAACCGCTGTATAGCAATGCAATAGGCTTTTTACATGCCAATGATTTTTTTATATCAACTGAACTAAATAGTACACGTATAGTATACGATATACATTTTTCAAAAGGCTTTAACTTCGTTTGTGAAAAAATAAATTCTGAAATAAAGCCAGTGTTCCAGCCGCTCGACCCAAGCAAAATGAACCGTATTAGTACGGGAAAAAAATTAATTCAAGCTGAAGTAGTATGGACTCGTGAGGCAAATACTTTATATCGATATCGGTATTAGAATTCAAATGTCATTCCGATGTTTAAATGCTACAATTTCAGCTTAACCAATTAATTATTTGTATGATAATAATGAGCGATCATAATTTTTTGTATTTTATTATAAAAAGCCATAAAAATGTATATAATTTTATAAGCTTTTTCTATATTTTTCCACCTCTGAGACTGACTAACATTCTCTTATTAGTACTATAAGCTTAACTAATTTATATTATCAATTAAATCAAGCCGTCCAATTCTATAATGTACAGTGTACTTAATTGGATCTCTACCTTTGTGAATTATTTTATATGTAGTGTCCATATACATATACAATTATTATGACGTAAATATTTTTTATGTTCTAAAAGCTGACAATTTAGTTTTGTACGCTTATTTGACCGCCAGCAATGTATGTTGTCAGTTAATATTGATTTGGTTTCCATAGTCTAAGGTTAATATTGATCAAGAACGCCAACGTTTAGGCGCCAAAAGGCGCAATTAAAATAATATATTTTGTTGACAACGCCAACATTTATGACAAAAGCCACACATTTCGTGTGTGTGTGTGGACTGAGGGCCCAAATGATTTTTGCCAGTTGTAATAACTGGAATGTTTAGTACAAGTTGTAAAGCATTTTGTAAAACGCATCCTGGAATGTGTAAAGCATATATTGAAAAGCTTTACCACCCAAGGTGCGGTCTCTCAGTTCTCACACCAAAGCTTCTGGGTAACTATTTAGTGTTTAGTTATTTTATTAACAGAAATTTAGTAAACACCTCTTTAAACATTTACACAATGAACGAAACGTAATTTGGCAATGATTATATATTATTATACTGTTCGTTATATGGTCCCTGAAGGCCCACATTTAAAAGACGTATAAATGAGTAAATTAATTAAAATATTTATATCATTTATCGGCAAACTTTAGTAAAAATCACAAGGAAGATTGTAAAAACAAAAGAAAACCGCCCAAAATTAAGTTGTCAACTTTTATATGTGTATTGTAAACAGTTGGCCGAAAAATCCGTGCGGTTAATGCCATTAACAAAAAAAATCTTTTTCCTTTAAAAATTTTGTATTGTCCATGGTAATTTTAAAAATATTATTTTGATTCGATCTGGACCTTTTGGAGGGAAAAGTGTCGTTTTTATGTTGACTTTCAATTATTTTGTGAATCTAGTTTAAAGTGGAATAGGATAGTGCTACTGTGCCTTAATCGAAGATTAAAACGCGAAATTATACGAATCTCGAACTAAAATACCCGTATCGGCCCGTTTTAAGGAATCCCGAGTCAATCCCAGCACGCCGCCTCAAATTGCCTATCCTCTTTGTGGCGGCCATTTTTACAGAAACATAATTAAACTTCATGTTTAGGCTGATGGCTTTGCCAAAGCCTTAATAAATTTAAAAAAAAATATTATTTTAGCGCGAATTTTAAGAGCACCTAGGCTAATTCTACCGCGAAAAAATGTCAGAAAATTAAATGATTGAATAAAAATTTCAATTTAAGATCTGGCAGTATGGCTAATAAGACGCCTTACCCTGTCCCGATGGATAAAGTAGTTCACTATCTATTGAAAATAGGCAGGTAAGTTTTATTTTTATAATTTATGAAAAACACCCAAACCTGGTGAATCGTAAAGGTGTCGTATTTCACAATGACACTGCCAAACCTCACACATCTTTACAAAGCCTCAAAAACTAGTAGTTAGGTCAGATTTTCACTTATTTCAGTCTTTTTTTATAGACAGAAATAATAATCTTTCAATGGACAAGACTTTGATAACTGATGATTTTAAAATTACCCGAACATGCACATGGCTACTAAATAATTTATTAGTTTTTTAATTATTTTAATTTATACTTTTATACCACACGGACATTTTGGCCAACCCAATAGTCTAAGTCATAAGGGCACCCCGTACACCAGCCAACATGTCGACCAGTACAGCGTTACGGAGACGCTACTTGTGTGCCAAACTATCAAATCGATGCCTTACTTTCTCAAACTCGTATCTTAAAAAGAACGATTATTGAGGAGATGGCAAAACTTTCTATTTATTTAAAATTTCTTATCAAGGGTGTTAATTTGGATGCATTACTTTGAGAACAGGTAAAAGCCAGTGTGTGAATATGAAGGAAATGTGGTGTGAAATCAGCCTGCAAACTTTGTATCTACAATAAATTTTTTGCATTTCAGTAACTTTGTGCTTTAAGATACGAGATTGAAAAAGCAAGGCGACGAAAGCTCATATCGAATATGGTCCTTTCGTCCCCCGCGGTCATAATTTTATAATGTATGTCTGCATATTGTATAAGGTTCAATTTACATTGCTGCGGAACGGAATCGTCAATTTCATCTCGAAGATTTCTCGCGACTGCGCCTTGAGGCTGTAGTATTTCCTCGACGTTTGACGTCACACTGCGCCCGCCTTTCGCGCCACTTCCCACGAATTAGCCAGGCGTCGCCTAGGCAGCTGCGGAAATTCCAGCGAATGCGCGAGAATTAGCCAGAAGACACGCGACTTGTTTTTTGGCTCGTATCTAGTTTGTTCGTTATACAATTGACATAATGTTAATTTTGCTTACAATTTCGACACAAAAATTCGCTTCCATTCCGTTCCACTGCAATGTAATTTGAGCCCAAGGGTAAATTCCGAGCCCAGTGACACAGCCGCTTGACATCGATAACGTGACATTGTTGTTAGCCAGTGACGCACGTTTCCTTATTGCATAATCGTGCTGTGCTCGGAACTCTAGTTATAGAGAGTTGCAACATGTTTGGCAAGGTGTACAATTTTATTTTTTGTATATTTTGTACGTATAAGGCAAGGAGAAAAAAATAAAAGAGAAATTTTTCAAACTTTTTTTCTTTATTTATTATCTATATTCCAATTGTAAAGGAGAGCCAGTCATACGAGTCCACTCAGTGCTACTACACTACAGATCGGCCATTTACACGTAAAGAAACAACTGAAATAGGTTAAAAATTCACAAATACACATTTAATGCAATGATTAATGATTACAACCTATCTTAAAAGTTATTCAATGGTTTGGATGCGCCGGGAGATTTTTTTGCCGATTGAAATTTATTGTAAAATATTTTCGTCTCAACGTTAATTTTAAGAATACGCTTTTTTTAACGTATTTTGTGACGTTTTCCTGAGATATGGCCATCTGTTGTTATTGTGATCTCATTGAGAAACATCAACAAAACGCAAGTCAGGACTGCACTGCAATACAATGACTGCATGCTTAAAGATAGTTTACTGCCGCACCGTTTCACCGTAGTGCAGTTCCGCCAAGTGCGGTTCCGCCTTTACAATATCTATAGGAAACGCGTGCATTGTCTAACACCATCATGACAGGTTGTTTCGCTTTATAATATCGTTATATTAATACGACTCAATAAGCACAAGTAAATACAAACAGCGACCAACAATGTAAGATACAAAAAGAAATGACAAGTTTATGTATATAGGTGTCCTAACACCAGATGTCACTTGTTACACGTTTACCAACTACCTATTTATGTTATACAAAATTGATTACGATATTTAAAGACTAGGGTAAAATAAATGCATTTATTCAAAATAGACTTTATGAAAAGTACAATAAATTTTACAACGCCCATTGAGAAAGAATTTTAAGTTTTGATGACATCTTCCTGCTCAATCTTGTAAACTATCTTGCGTGTGATGTGTGAAAATTATCATATCTATATAGATACTTCGATGTTAATTTTATTGTACTTTTTTTCTTAATTATGAAATCTACATCGAAATGCATTTGCGAACATCCTGGTGCACCCAAACCTTAAACCTAACGCTCACCTCGGACTTAGTGACAATTCGGCCAAGACGAAACGAACCCCACAAAAGCACCCACCGTCATATGATTTTGCTAACAAAAACACTATTTGAATGAATAATATTCGAATGAAGTAAATTTCCAAATGTTTTTTTAAAAAACTGTATTTTTATTATCCTTCTCCCATCATAAAAATAGTTAAACTCTACATGTATATGACACTACATTGAATTTACGATACGTGTTTCAATCATACATTTTATATAATAGTAAGTTGAACACAATAACAAACTGCTTACATTGACCATTTAATTAGATAAAACGTTAATTCCAAAGCTAAGGAAGGGCCTTTATCGCTCGACTATTAGGCAATTTTCTTACTTCAAAAAATAAACTCACATTTCCCAAACATTGCATTTTTCTGTGTGTTTTTATTTACACATCTTAAAATTATGCTTATATAAAGATTCTTACACCATAGTACTTTTGCGATAGTGCCAGACTGCGAATTAAAATTGATTACAACCTACCAATGATGTTAAAAAAATATTACATTTCGACCCCTTTAGAAAAAAAAACTAAACAACAATTCTTCTAAGTTACGTTTAAACGATAAATTGATTAAAAACAGAAAATATGTATGCCGAGAGAATAGAAGTGATGTTGAAATTATTAAACGTTTGTTGTATGCACATATTCGATATTTCTCAATTATAAATATAGTCACCAAAGTCAATCTGTACTTTTGATATCTTGAAACTATTTTGAAAATATGCCAAAACATATTGCTTTCAATCTTTTATACAATGGTTTTCTGCCATTTTCAATTGATAATGTCAAACAATAATGTATTCTTTTAATTTAATAACGTAATATATGGTCCCGAAGTAATCCAGTGATACAGGTAATGAAGCAGAGGACTAAAATAACTCTATCATTTTATATGTGGTTGTATGCGGGCATGTGGTTTACCATAGATAAGTTGGTACCACAAATCAAGGCAGAAGTTACCTTTAAAATGACAATTTCAGAATCGACACACCTTATGATGTTATTTAGCACTTAATGGCAGGATTTGAATGACTTTTGACATTACGTTAACCCCCATTGTTATAAAGAGCACGTCATTTAATCTGAATATTAATTTCAAAAATATCAACAAAAATTATATTATACTTATAATTCCAAATGTATAGGGGACAAGGATCTTGTTTGTAGAAGCTATTCTGCCAATTTTCTATTAACAATTAGCTAGGTTTTTGGTTTACTAGTTAAACCTCACAGCTAGGGTCAGACGCGGTCTATAGAAAAATTTGACCTCGCGTATTTAACATACTTACAATTTTATATGTAAACCGGTCTGTATAGGTCTTAAGACTCTGTAGTCATAGTTATTAAGTAGGAAGTGAGTTGGCAGTCAAAGCTCGCAAAGTTCAGCCAAGAAGCATATTTGCAGAATTTCCAACACCAAATTTTTGTTCACATTAAGTAGTCAGCACACTTATCGTTGCGGAATCGGCTTGAGGCGGTCTGGAATTTTTTTATGCGGATGCAATTAGAGCGTAAAAGACGTGCGAACGACTTTTTCGTTCTTACTACATGAAAATAAAGCTTCTTCTTACCGGCTTAAATCGAATTCGCGTCAAGAAATGTGTTGACTCCCTTAACAATAACCAGGAAGGCGTTTCATTCATATTGTACTAAATGCCACGTACGTAGTTGCTAGTGAAAATACGTACAGGACGAGTGTCTGACAGATTATTTCTAAGGCTACAAAGAATTAATTAAATACTCTTTAGGGGCAAATCTAACGGGAATTACACCAATATATTGCAAGCATCATATCCTTGCACTCATCGTCTAACTTGAAGGTCAGCCTAACATACAGTATATACACTTTTGAAAACCAATAATGGGTTTCAGAAAGTTTCAAAGTTTTTGCCACTTCACTCTGGACGCCAGGCTGAGTTTCGAGTTAAAGTTCCACCAAATTAGTCGCCGCGGAATCGGCATAATCGGTAAAAAAAAAAGCTTAAATGTGCATACAGAAGACATCAACAGCACCAACGATGCGTCACGTCAACAACCGACGTTGAAACCATTTTTTTATCATAAAGATTTTTTGACCGGCTCAATCCGATTCCACATCGACGTGTGTAGTGGAACCCTTAGATGTTTAGGCCCCTAATAGTTGAGCCTACGCACTTTTGCTCTTTAGTGTTACCTCTAAATAGTACTTGCGTAATTCAGCCACATACTCGTCTCAGGTCTTCTAAGAAATTCTGTATATATGCAATTAGGCTTTACTCTAAGAGATTTCATTTTTTTATTAAGATCCTTGTCCGTAGGTACATAAAAAGCACATTGAAATAAAACATCATTAAAAATTCTACAGCAGTTTACTTGTATTATCCTTAATCTAAAGGGAATTATTCCTATAACATAAAATTACACATACCGTCGCGACTCAGAACAAACAACTTAATTCGTAACAAAATAAAAATTGTAAAGAATATACTGAGTGTATTTTATTATATAATCTGTTGCACAGTACAAGTCTGAAATTGGAGTTCGTATTGCCAGAATATGACCATTATGATACCACAGTGTAGCCATAGTTATATCTAAAAACGGTGTAGCAAATTCTTGCGATCATTTAAATTTACGTCAGCAAATTATTGGTGCAGGGACTGCATGTACGAAAAAAATTGATAATGTTCGCTTGGACTCCGAAAGCTAGGCCTAAATTGTAATAAAATCGTAGAAATTTATAGCATTCTTGCTGAGTTAAAGAATTTTAATTATTAATCATTTAACACTAGTGTGGGCAAGTAAATTAGTACTTATGCTTGGAATGGAATTAAGTCTAAGTTATGTCTGTTTTTTTAAACATAAATTTCTACGACGCTGTAACACCTATTATGTAGTGTAGTAAATTCAATTTGAATTATATGATTTATTTTTAAGGCAGGTAATTAAATAATTTGAATTGGATCACTGTTACCTGCATTCAGTGTTACTTATTATTTCTTTAGTTGTTTTCCTCTAGTAAGTATTTTTATTTAAATCAGTGACTCCCGTTTTATTACCTAATTTATCACTACTACAAATAGAGTTTATTTTAAACTAATTCAAAGGGATGCCATTTCTGTAGATCTGTCAAATAAATACACATTCAAAAATGTAAGTTATATCCACTCTTATACAGGCGAAAAATAATAAAATTATATTAGATTGTAATGGAAGTGGGCTGATGTATGTAGCTTCTGCCTCCCTATGTAGAAAAAAAGATAACGTGTATGTGTCCCATATATAATTTTTTTAAAGAAAACTAATTATATATCTAATATAATTATCGTGATTTAAATCACGATGAAAATTCTGAAATGTAACTAACTCTCCTCCGTCAAAATTGTAAGTTACTTTCATTTTTATATCTGCGGTCTATATGGTTATATATTACTGACCCAAGTGATTCTACATGTGTGATGAAAACGTGAAGTAATGTGCAACAGATTGCAGAGCGAGTCGCGGGCGGACATTAGTCTATGTTAAGTGGTGTAGCTTACTTGACTATGTATGTTTTGCGGCCGAGTGGTCACTGCTCACGATGATATGAGCTGCAAATTATAAGATTGTATTAGAATTCAGTTTTAACACTGGACCGTTCCCAACCAAATGTAATGTTTTGACGTGAATTGAAATTCGGGATCGCTAGTACTACAATTGGAAGCTGGTTAATCAGGAAAGTAGCCAAAAAAACACATTTCTAAAAGAATGATAACGATGTTTGTTTAAATAGGGGCTAGATAAGTCAACACGCAAAAGAATCGGAGTTAAAGTATAGCGCATGTATGTAAGCCTAAAGCATGCTGTGTATCGAGTTAAACTACACTAAAGGAAACAATAACAACGCCCTTGGCAATGAAATGTACAGAACCACAAAATCATCTGTGAAGAGTGTGTCCGTAAAATCTACGCAGATCCGTTACTGTTTATAGAAGTCTAACAGATGACTTTTAAGCAACCAAAAATATGCCCGATACTTGTTCCATCTCTCTACAAGGCGTTCTCAGGGGTTGAATCTTCGGCCGAGTGTCGAACAATCAACGACCCCTGACCATGTCTCGTAGAGGCGAAATCGAGTCGGATATATTTTTTATTTATTTATATATTCGTATATTATATATCGTCTATTTCAATGTAGAACCACGTAAGTGACATTTTCCACAAAAAGTCTTTAATTTATATAGCTATGATAAGAAAATCAATATCTTTCTGCACGTGAAACTCCATAACAAAAAAACTCTAAACTTAGAAAGATGGTGAATTTCTTACAACTGATACATAATTTGGAGATTTTTTGTGGAAAATGTCACTTATGTGGTTTTACCATTAAGCGCGGAGTAGCAAATAAATTTGCTTCCAATTTTATTGACATGGAAACCCATGTCAATAAAACGACCTTCACCATTTTAATACCTATAGTTCAGGGCACAGAGCACGTTAAGTGTGACATAAGGATTAAATTCCTTATACTTATTATAAATAAATAAACCATAGGTCCAACTTTCTGTAGCGGCTGACTAAATAAGCCTCACTGATAAGAATGTTGCAAAGTGTCAAGCGCAATCACCGACTGTACTATTCTTAAAAGTCCTAACTTCTGAATCATTTGAGTTTTACTGTAGAATAGATAGCGCCGATAATAGACCAACCGGCGGCGGCGACGAAAAAGTGTCGGCGGCGGCGGCGCGAGCTTGACCAAAAAACGAATTTGTATAACGGTGTTTGCTTTTACAAAATCCGTTATACAAATACTTTTTCAAAGAAAAAATAAAAAAAAGAAATTTTCTATATTAATCAATTTTTTATCAATTCGATCAGGCGCTCCGACCATACGCACACGCACGCTTCCGTGTTGTGTATGCGTAGTGAAAATGGCGACGCCAGAAATTGACAAATTAATGTTTTAAATAAAACATCTTCGAATACAAAGTCACAAGTTTTATAGTGTCTCCATTTTCACTATGCATACACAATATGGAAGCGTGCGCGTGCGTAGGATCGGAGCGCCTGATCGAACTGAACGGAACGCCGCACAGTGGGCCCAAATTGATAATTCTTGGAGATAGGAACAACTTGTGGAGTATCGAGCTATAAAAAATAAAATGTATGTTCTCCATACAACAAAATAGTAATTTTTTTTTTCTCCGAAACTATCAACTTTTCAATAAATTATACAAGAATAAAAGTTGTTAGGAATGTTATTATCTATCACATAAAAAAAATTAGCTCGATAGTCCCAAGTTATTCCTATGTCCAAGAATTATCAACTTGGGCCCACTGAGCGCCGATTGCATTTGTCGGCAGCAGTGGCGCGGAGGGAAACGCGGCGTTCATATCTACTGTAGAACTGGCGAATATAATTAATTTCATCTGGCAAAATTGAGATTCAGGTCTGAATCTAATATTTAAAAGGTTACATTTTACAGTCAATCGTGACCATCGGACCTGCAAAAGGCCCGAAACTTTGGTATGTTTGAAAAAACAAATATACGCGATTTAAATCCGGAAAAATAGTTTCATTTCATAGGTTACATTTTACTATAATAAAATTCCGTCCAATAATAAAAGTAAAAATTCGTCAATATAAAGTAGAAATTCCTAAGAGAGTTCTTTTGAAGTCTCAACGTGTTGTCGTGAATAAGTCTCATTGTCGTATCACAGATAAGTCGATGGTTCTGTACTGCTAGTCACACCGTTACTATATAAAACCAAAAAGCAAGCATGCAAAAATAATAAAAAAACTCTACCTTGTAAAGAAAAGCGGGAGTGTCCAGTCGACTTGTCAGATATTATAATCGATAATATATTATTATTATAATAATATATAAAACTATGTCCTTTTAAAAACTATAGGTATACTATGTAGACATCTACACGCCGCCCTTAACTCCTAACATCTTAAATACACTGCAACAAACGAAAAAGAAAATAAGAAAATAAAGATTTCAAAAACATGCAAAGCGTTTATTGTGACATAGATGCATGCAATATGAGTCTGTAGTGCAGCTTTTAATAAACCTGGGGTCCGAAACTACTTTCGGTCAGTGGACCATCTCGGGAATTTATGAAAAATCGGGTACCACATGAATTTGATAAGTGAATTGCTATAGGTAGTGGGATTACAGAATTTTAGGTAAAGCTGGAGATTGCTAATGATAGTAAGCAATTTGATTAGAAAAAAAATATTTGCAGCTAGTTATATTATATAACTTTTTGTTTCGATTTACTTTTCTGTAACACTTAAGCGATCATCGCTTCATTTGCATTGGGCAATTTCAACACTTGTAAATGTTATAATTACTTTTGTATTTATTTTTTCTCTGCCTACCCCTCTTGTGGGACAAGGGCGTGAACTTATCGACTGTGAACTGGCAACCGGTATTATCTTTACAGTTGTGAAAATTGTCAAAGTCATTTATACAGCATCTGGTTTACTAAATAAAAATACGTATACACATACATACATGTGTAATAAAAATATTTAAAAACTACGCATTTTTATTTAATAAACCAGGTGCTATATAAATGACGCAAACAATTTTTTTCTCCACCTGTGAAGCTGTCAAAATTTAGATAGTACCGATTGCCAGTTCACAGTCGTTATGTATGTATAATGTATATATTTTATTCGTAATGTCGTCCAATTATCCAATTATAATATATCATTATATTAATGTTCAATAAAATTGCGTAAATCAAAGAACACAGCCAACTTAAAAACACACAAATTTCTGGCAGTTAAGCGTGTTTCATACGATTCTAAACAAACGCAGAACCCTATTCATTTTCTGAGCATCAGTTGAGAATATCTGGAAAATGGTTGGTTTTCCATGGTTTTGGTACAGAACTAAGTTTTAACGTCTAACCTTGGCAGCTTCGTGTTTGAGTTTTAGATTGAAATTGATGTCACGAACACTTTATATGGTCAGTATATAAAGCCAAACAAATTTTAACATGGGAACATTTACCGATGAAAATCTGTTTTTGTTTTTCGCGATATCAGGAGGTATTTAGATAGAAATTGTTAATATAATATATAGCTCAAATTATAAAGTTAAATAAAAAAAATTATAGCAATTATACTTTGAAAGAAATAAAGGTGCTAAAATTATAACGTACTTTTTTTCAGTTTGGATTGGAGTATGTTAAGAAAATTAAAATAAATGCCATCTAGCGACACAATTTTACAATATTTCAATGCGTCGATTGCCATCAATCTATCCCTGCTTTACTTACGCAGCTAATAAACAAAATCCTTCTTCATCCTGAGCTAATATTTCATAGATGGCACTATATTCTATGTGAAAATTGCGGCTCTTGGTTGAAACAATTATAATGTGAACTACTTTCACATATTATTTGTAGCATTCAACATTTGGTGCGAAACGCGAAATAGCTGATTGGTTTATTTATTTTTTTTTTTTTATTTATTTTAAACACTAAGAATATTACAAAAATATATATACATCATCATATTGCTGTTAAATTTCACGTTTGAGTACGCTAAATGCTAATGCTATATTTAGCACTTAGCAAGTACTATAGTTATGTTATAAATTATAATTTTGGTTACGTTTTAATACGATTTTGAGCTAATGGTGGAATGTTAGCAAAATGTTGTCTGAAGAAGCGATTTAAATTAAGATATAATTACTTGGATTTATTTAGTTAATTTAGCGTTTGTTTAATTAATAAGTGTAGGAGAAAGAATTATTATGAATGTAATTTAATGTAATTAACCAGTGTAAAGTTTTGTGTAAATTGTAAATAGTAAATTGTTTAAGTATGAAGTTCTATAACCTGTAACCACCACATGTAATAGTTACAAAACAAATGAAACTAGTCCTAAGTAACCGTAAAAACTGTAGATTATTCTATAGATAGATGCTATGCTTAGCAAGTTAGCACGCGTCAACTGTTTCACGTTTCTTTCCATTCGTTACTTTATCACACGACCTAGAGCTGCTAAAAATTCTAATTTTAGCACTTTCAATAGCGCGCTATGCGAGTATAGCAGTTAATCTCATCTCTATGTTTAGGGACCATAAATGGTTTATGTAGAAGTCAGAATATGAACTAATAAACTAGTGACCTTATATTGTCCCTTACAACACTGTTTCTCGAAGACTACAATTTGGGGTTGTTCACGGTAAGAGCGAATAGTTATTTTGTTGAAAAACACGTACCACTGTTGATTACACTGTTGTGGCCAAACGTGCGTTTATTATCCCTTTCATGGACAGTACCACACAAACTGTTCTTGCCGTAGAGCTTATGTTGATTCAATATAAAATATTCAATGTATGTATAGTCTGTCTTTTATGAAGACGGAGTAAAATGACATTTGTAGGGTTGCCAGTTTTCATAAAATTTTATACAGGATTTCCCCAATGCGAGGCTAGGAGTGTGCAAAAAAAAAGAAAAAATGCGTCACTACTTTTTTATCCTTATTTAGACAATTTTTTTGACCTAGTAGTATCGAGATCAATTTTTATTCATATACATTTGAACAAGAATAGCTGAATTTGATTATTTGTACTGAATTAAAATGAAAAATCTTTAAAATATGTCTCCTCTTTGTATATTTCATAAACATATGTATGTATGAACTTACAAAAAATTCGAATGCACTTGTGCTCAGTAATTGGATGAATAATGGGTCCAGGATGATTCGAATGTAACAAGTTCAGCTATTTATTCCATAAGCGTGACCAATATTCAGTCGATAGTTGATATAATACTCATAGACCGCAATCACTAACTACTTGCAAGCGGGCAACACTTGCGCAATGAAGTGTCATTTTACTCCGTCTTAAAAATAGAGAAACTATAAATCATTGAATTTTGTCAGTATGCTGGGCAAATTCTCAGAAAGCACTTTGAAATCATACTGTAAAGCCCGTAGTTGGTTTTTTGATATCTATATAGCTAAACGAAGTACCCCGTACTATCATATTCTTATATTTAATTTTACGATAAACCCTGTTAGGCTGCTAATAGATTGACTGCTTGAAGTCAATAATGACTTCACGCGTTAACTGCATACAGTCGATCGCGGCTGCATGAAGTCGGTTTCGACTGCATGCAGTTAATCTGTTAACAGTCTTAATGCCCATGAACGTGTTGTACATTAAAAAGTGTAATTTTAAATTTTAACTATAATTAACTAAATACGTCACAACTTGATGAAATTCTGAAACGAATAAATAAGTGTAAATCCTTCGAAATTGTAAAATAAGTCTATTAGTGTTGTAAAGGACGATACTGTAGAAAAGTAGGCATTACAAAAGCGATTGAGTACTGACCGACTTGACTGTGGCCTTGATGAAGTCCTTCTTGTGTGCCAGGTCAAAGTCAGGATAGTGACTGTACACCTGTTTACACACTGTCTTCATCGTGATCTGCTCCAGATTCGCGCCCTCCAGAATCTGCTTCACGTACTTCTTGATCTCCTCGTCCTGGTATAAACAAATAAATGTTGTTATAAAGGTATATGAAAAAACATGAAGTATACAAAGTACAAGGCCCAGGATTCATTCTTACTGAACCCCGTCTTATTAGCTGTCCGGTTTTTAACTGTCTTCGTTTACGGAAGCGAACAGAGTTTTCTTTTACGTAAGTAGAAGTAAATAATCTCTATCTACCTCATTGGAGGTAAGTATGTAAGGGTATGTATTTATAAAATGCACTTGAAGGGACATATCCCTTAATCCATTATATATCGCTTTCTATGTTATCAATTTAAAGTTTTATAAACTATAGAAACCAAAGGTCAAGTTTTGTTAGCTGCCCGATTATACTGCCCACAAGTTTAGAACAATAAGATCTATCTCGTTGTCGTAATTAAAATTGTTTATTATAAGTATATGCCATTGAGTCCTGACTCTGTTACGACAATCGTCGCAGACGCGGCCGACCTATACCAACGTTGGAGAAACCGTTGGAGAAACTTACCGAGGTCTGTGGTCATGACTTACCATACCTTGAAATATTGTGTTGGATGACAAAACTTACATTATAATTATGTACGATAAGCATAAATAAAAACTTAACATAATTAATAACACAAACTTAATAACATCGACACGTAAAAGGAAATTGTCGTAGTTCTTATGTCAACGTAGTATAACCTCCAATCTATGAAACCCTTCCACTTTTTAAAAACATTGTCTTTTGTTCTCTCCACAGTTTGCTTTACTCACAGTAGGCGGCCGTTTGGCTTTCTTGTCAGTGGGGGCGTCGGATTCTTCTCCGCTTTCCTCCTCCTCCTCCTCACTACCCTCCTCCTCCTCCTCTTCTTCGCTGCCCTCTCCCGACTCCTCTTCAGATGACGCCTTCTTTCCCTTCTTAGCGGCAGCAGGTCGCCCTGGCTTGCCCTTCTTCTTTGCTGCTTTTGGGGTAAAAGTTACATACTTAAGTTAATTCTACTTCAAAATGTTTCTCATTTCTCAGTTTCTCATTTAGTGTGTGTTAAATATATTATAAGAAAGTGATTGTATACAATTTCTTTTGTGCACTCGTTTTATATATTATTTGGTATATTTATATGATACAACAATGTAAAGCATAAACTGTACATATGCCAGTAGCTGTCACACTTGCATACTAACAACAGGTAGATTTTTTTTTATAATATCAAGTGACGGGACGAACAAGTCGTACGCATGGTGGTAAGCTACACCACGCCTGTCCATAACAGTTGCAGTGCCACTCAGAGCTTTAAACCGCAAAGATCTGAAGGGCACTGCCACTGCGCCCGTCACCCTGAGACATAAGTTGACAAGTCCCATGTGCCTGAAATTTCACCAGCACCCTTACCCTTCAAAACCAGAACACAGTAATGTTGTCATTACTGTTTGGCGGCAGAAATAGGTAAGGTAGCATTACTTCCCTGGACGAGCATTTTCACAAGGAGCTCTACTGCTACTTAAAGATGTAGACATAATACAGACACGTAAAAAGGCAATCCAACGGCAGGCAGTTGATGTATGTATATGATGTAATTATCAAATGTTTATGTGTAAAAGGTATGTGTTTTAGCTTTACAAGTGTAACATTTACGAGTGATTAGTTTACCTGGGGGCGTGGGTGCTTTCCGCTTGGCGGGGGCCTTGGCGTTGGGCTTTGCGACAGCGCCCTTGCGGCCTTTAGCCACGGCGATTGGCCTGCCGCGCTTCGATTTTGGCTCCTGAACATCAATAATTTCAATTAGTTTACTAATAATCCTATCATAGGCACACTAATATTATAAATGCAAAAGTAACTGTCTTGCGGTTTCACGTATAAACCGTTGATTCAAATTTGATGAATTTTGGGTATATAGATGGGATCTAGGAGAAGAACATAGGCTAGTTTTTGTCACAAAAATCAATCTTAAAGGGGGTGACATAGGGGATGAAATTTTGTATGAAGAACCAATCATTTCTTAAGTTAGTAGTAAAGTAGGCTACACGAAGTATTTATTCTACGCAGACAAAGTCGCGGGCACCAGCTAGTAGTTGGATAAAAAATCCATCTCGAACCTGTGCCTTTCAGCCGTTTCGAATCATGTGCAGTTAAGATCAATCAGTCTCTTGCTTCATTGAGAAAACGGTAATATGAAAACATCGCGATAAGACCTCAGAGAAGGTTAAGAAAACTCTTTGAAAACCAGTAGTCCCCAAGCCGCATCCGACTAGAATGTGGACTGAGACTTGAACCCGTTCCTTCAAAGGAGATGCTCAGGTATAGGAATAGCCGCGTTTTAGTTAGTGGACGGCAGTATAGTATAGGTTTACTATGATGACGAATTATCCTACAATTTGTAACAATACTAATAATTATAAATTTAGTCTAGAATATTCTCTCGTGTCGATTAGCAATTGAAAGTATCTTAGGCGGAATATTATAATGTTCTTACACAAAATAGATATATTTAAAATACACTACATATAAAACACCTCTACTTGCAGACTGACACATTCATTATATATGTGACTAATTTCCAGCTGTGTTCTACTGTACGAAACGAGGTGGATATGGCGTATACTAACGTCGGACTCTTCTCCCTCGCTAGCGGACTCGTTGTCGCTCTCACTGTCGGACTTCTCGCTCTCTTCCTCGCTGTCAGAGCGCGCGCGTCTCCCGCGTGTCGGCTTCACCGCTCCCTGGGTAGAAAAAAGAACTAGAAGGATTAGGCTGCTACCAATAACATGTACGCAGAGGTCCAAGGTTCGATTCCCGGGCCGAAAGAAATATTTGTATGACCTACATTTATTTATCTCGTGAGTTTGGGTGTAATTTGTGGTTGTCTATGTGTGTGTCCATGGCACCCGCGATACAGGGTTTCCCTAGTGCGGGGCTATGTTGAGTGTGTGCGTTATAATAAAGCTCTTTAAAAAAAAAAATTAATACAAAGATCGAACACTGAGAAAAAAATTCCATTGATCCGGCCGGATTCGAACCGACGTCTTCTAGCATACCGTGTCAGACCCCAACTAAGACACGGAATGAACCAGCGGACCTCACGAATTTTTCTATGTGCTTACTATTTGGTTTCTCAACAACTTTTTAGCCGTAACGCCATCTATGAGAAAACTATTATATTTCGTCACCCAGTTAGATACCTTTACAGCTACCAGCTCCGGCTAGAGACGTCGCTATTCATTGTATTTGTATTTAAATTTTTATTGAATTGATATTCAATTCTTTTTATGAGAAATTACTCCACTACTTTGTTATAATTATTAAGACAAAGATCGAACACTCAGAAAAAATAATGAACATGTAGTTCTTAGGTTTTCGCGAATAGTTTTTGTCGGATCTTAAATAGTTCTTTACGGGTCCCTTCAGTCCAAGGGGGTCTGCTCTCGTTCGTCTGACATCCGTCCGAACACAATTACTGTCACATAAGCAATACTCGACCATATTAAAGACAATATCAAGTACGAAGCTTCATTCGCATCATGCGTTTTTTAACTTGGTCGAGTATTACTTATTTCACATTAATGTGTAAGTAATTGTTTAGGGCGGATAACGTGAGTACAGGGCCATGTCCCTTGGCCACGGCTTACAGTCAACAGACTGCCCTCGGAAAGAAAACGGGCACAACTAAAATTTTTATGAAAATTGAGTTACATACCTATCAGTGGCGAGGCGTCCATATAACTCGCTTCCCACCGGCTTGCCTAACACATTCCGCGTACCTATTACCAGTGACAGCGACCATACCCCACCACTTAAAAAAACATTTATTCAAAATATTCACTATTAAACGCGTAATAACTTGACCCGATGCATCTGGACCAATCAGCGCGAGGTAGGCCGGTGGATCTGCGAGTTCTATTTCATTCATGAAATCTACGCGCACCCATCAAAATATACGCAGACATTCGCAAAAATCCGCTTTATAACATCTAAAGAAATGGCGGCCGAGAAGCCGCAATGGTTCGAGTTATTGTCGAAAAGCATTCACTTAAATTTAAACCTTATTGAAACACATTATAGTTTCATTTGTTTTAATGACAGAATCGTTGCCATACGTAGAACTTACTTAAAACAATGTAAGAAAATTATCATAATAGCAAATCAATACAAAATAATATGGTTAATTTCTATTTTGTAAATCTTAACGATAAATAGTGTTATATACGTATGTATATTAAATATAAACACCGAATTAAATTTTAATTCGGTGTTTCTTTTTAATAGGACTACGTAAAGAATGTATGTAAAAGGTCATGGTAATTCGTAGGTAATTAAAATAGCAACACTAAGGGTCGTATTCCAGAACTGTACTCAATACTCAAGTCAGATTTGAGCAGACTTGATTATGATTCTAAGCACTGGAAATACGACCCTAATGGCAAGGACTTGAGTATGATTTCTATTGCTTTGAACCATACTGATTGATTGCAATGATTAGAGTTCTAGAATACGACCCTTAGCATTCATGGGTTTGTTTACAAACTTTCGTATCGCGACGGGCATCTTAAAATATAAAATTACTTTAAAAGCTATGGTCATTTCGTGGGTAGACTAAGCATTCCTGTGAATTGAAGTGACCTAGTATCTTGTGTGTTAATAAGTGTTGTGTTTAAATGTCGTCAAGGCGCCTTTTTAGCGGGCAATGAAATTTTTGTTACAGTAAGCTTCGGCTTTACCAAGGAAAATTTTCACGCCTCGCTACTGATACCTATTTAGAATCGGGAAAGAAAGACCAATCTACCTATTTTCTCTTTTGTAAAAATATATCTCAATCATTGTTAAATATACTGCAAGCTCAACGGGCACAACTGACATCAATAATAAGATTTCTTGTTATAGAAAGTCATATTTGACGTTTATTATGTTAAAAACAAAAATATCAGAATTTTACGGAACTGTGCCCTTATTGTGTAGTTCAATTACAATATAATAACATAAAAAAGGCACAACAGGATACAATTGTGCCCTTTAGTTCTTTATATGAGTCAAGTATTACAAGTCACAAGTCATATTTAAATTAGTTATGTTCTTCATATACAGTAATATTTTTATTTATTTTTTCTACTAAAAGAGGAAATTAAGGTATTTTTAAAAACGGCTGATTGAAATACAATAAAAGTTTCTACATAAAACATGTGGCTTACCATTTAATATCAAATGTATATTTTAAATATTCTTTTTATCAGAAAAACCTAACAAAAATTTAAGAAAACATCTATGAATTTAGAATTTAGAAGCTATTTGTTTCTATCTTCCGAAGATAGTATCTCTAAAATGGTCTAAAATGGGGTATTTTAGATCCGAAAAAAAAAATGTTTCACATCCGATGACGTGAACACATTTATCTTGAATATCTCGAAGATATACATAAATTTACGACTTTTGAGATATTGCTACACAAAATAGTACGGAAAATAGTTATTCCTATTAGAAGTTTACATTTACAGATGTAATTGATTCAAATTGTATAAAGGTAGGAAATTCTTAAGCACAGTTTTAATAATTGATTCCATGGATAATTTAATTGTTCACTTTGTAAAAAAAATTAATAGATTCAACTTTCGACAGGAACTAGGACGAGCAATTCCTTCGATTCAATCCACACCTTGCAAAAGCTGAAGTACGTACCTTCCCTTTCTTGCCCTTGGGTTTGCGCCCCTTCTTGCCGGGCTTGTTGTTGGAGCGACGCCGTCCGGTGCTCTTGCGCTTGCGCGGGCCGGCGCTAACGCCTTCGCCCGCCTCGGGATCGAAGTCCGAATCTGCCTCTTCTGAAGCGCTCGGGTTGAACGAACCCTGTACACATATTGCATTGCACTAATGTTCAAAATTCATTAAAAAGGTTTTTGTTTTTTTATAATATCATGTGGCGAGACGAACAAGTCGTGTGCCTGATCTTAAGCTACACGCCTGTTCACAACAGTTCCAATGCCACTCAGAGCTTTAAATTGCAAAAATCTGAGGGGCAATGCCACTGCGCCCGTCACCCTGAGACTTAAGTTGACAAGTCCCATGTGCCTGTAATTTCACGATCATCATCATGTGGCGAGGTTCACACGTTCTATTAACGAAAAAAATTAAAGCAAAATATTTGGTAAGTAGAGTTCGTCAGCCTGTAAAGTTGCACTATCTATTCCCCCAGTATGCGACTCGGTTCACCATTAACTATCATATTTTATACGGCTTCTACCACTTAAAACTAAAACACAGAATGTGAATATTCACAGATTTAAATAGCAGTAGAGATTGTGAAAAGTACTGTCACCTTACCTGTTTCTGATGCCAATAATGCCAGTAATGTTAGCATTACAGGCATATAGGACTTGTCAACTTATGTCTCAGGATAACAGGTGCAGTGGCAGTGCCCATAAGATCTTTGCGATTTAAAACCTCTAAGTGGCACTGCAACTGTTATAGATAGGCGTGTCGCTTACCACTGGGCGCACGACTTATTCGTCCCGTCACTTGGCATTATAAAAAAAAGTAATATAAAATGAATTATAAAAAAAAGTAACGTTAAAAATATTCATTATTACAATACTTACATCTGAATCTTCCGAGCCATCCTTAGCTGGTTTGGGACCCTTGATCTTTGTCTCCGGGTCTGTTTCATATTCTTCGTCAGAATAGCCTGCAAGCAAATATTATATTCCAATAATTAGCACTCCTAAACAGATTCATTCTAACCATACCAAATGTGTTTTATTTGGGGAGTCATGTCTCGAATCTCTAATTTTTTTGTGTGTATCATTTTCTTGGTTTATCGCATCGGCTTCAACAATGGCAAAAATCAAAAATGGCAAACGTGGTCGGTTGTCAATTATGTTTTCAAATAACAGTCGACAAAAATGACATTAGCTAACTTAAACATTGCCATAATTTGTCTAAATTTTGGTCGAAAAGTTGAGAAGTTCCTACATAATATCAGTATAGAGCATTGACTTACAATTATAGTACAGAGTACCAAAAAAACAGACCTGAAAAGTTCGTGAAATATAGGTAATTTGCCAAGTTTTATTGAAGAGCGCGAAACCGGAAACATCCCCTAGTTTGCGACCCTTATTAGGAGGAGGAATATTTTCTTCAAATTTAAATGGGACCACTACTGGGTACTGGGTACCCTTTCTCCAACAAAAAAAAAAGTATCATCAACATCGGTTCACAAATTACGAATTATCAAAGGAATGTATTGAAATAACAAATAAGGCATTTAAATTTCAAGAATGTCAAAAATCAGATTATTATAATTTCCTTAATGGCGGTTAGGCTTGGGCAGAGGACAAAAGAGTAACGCTTGGACCCAGAATCAGTTTCGAAATTCCAAAAATCAACAACAAAAATTTATAAAACTGAAGTGTTATTATTATCATTTCCTAGTAACAAAACGTCAACGTCATTACGTCACTGTCAAATGATAAAACTCCACAAGAACGGCTTAATGATTTCAAATCCATGTAATTCATCAAACACAAGCTCAATCTGTGATTAATCTAACATACATACAAAAAACAACATACAGTCGAATTGAGTACCTTCCACCTTTTTCGACTTTTACTTGAGTCACAATGATGTAATTGCGACGTCATAAACGAAAGCACGGATGCGTGTTGATGAAGCGAAAGACGTGTGCCAGGATCGTAGAAAAGGGCGCGAAAACTCACCGCGGTTGTGCACCTTGACGGCGGCCGAGCGGCGGGGCCGGCCGCCAGGCGCGTTGGCGGGCGCGGCGGGGGGCGGCGCCCGCGCCGATCCACGCGCATGCGGCGAGTTGGCCGTCGGCTGCTGCAGGAAGCCCACGATGCGCGCCGCCAGGTCGCTGGGGGACCCTGTCCACGAAAACTCACCGTTAGTGTTCTGACCTTTTACAGCCCTTCGGCAGCCTCGCACCGTCCATCTCTTCCGAACCGAATCTCATTAACTTCTTGAATAGGCAATTGGACAATAATCAGAATAAATCTTAAAGTACCTACGGATTTGCTCGATTGTTAAAATACAGTTGAATTGTTGAAATTATTGATGTTATGTTATGTACTTTTCCTTGCGGAAAGGCAGAAAGACCTTTAGACCATGCAGCTTAGTCTTTTTTTATATTTTTTAAATTTATATATGGTAACCATAGTAACTATTTTATTCATATTATCCTTACTGTATTATTGTATAGTCAGAACACTTTCCGAGGTCCCGGGTTGGATACCCTACCGGGTCAGTGTAGAAAACTAATTTTTCTATATTGTCTCGGGTCTGGGTGTTTGTGGTACCGTCGTTGTTTCCGATTTCCATAATACAAGTGCTTTAGTTATTTACTTTGGGATCAGAGCAATGTATGTGTTGTTGTGTAATATTTATTTATGTACCTTTACATGTACTTACAAATAACGTTTCTACTGGCTGTATATTTGAAAGTGAGATACATACATGTCATAGTAAATCATGTTACAGCTTAACATAGACTAAAATAAAATTAGGATATGTGATAGAACAAAAAATAAATCAACAAACGTGTTTTGAAGTGTACATAGGAATAAACCGTTTCCCTTTACGCTTGATTTCGAGTGCAATGGGAATACTACCAAGTGAGTGCCGAGTGAGACAGCAACAATAACAATGATTTCACATTTACGTTTTAGCTTAGGTTCATTATTTTTTACTTGACTATCATCGAAACGTTTTACGTACTAAAAAAGATAAGTTTATGATTTAGTAACTAGTTATCATTTAATAAGAATTGAGGTTTTTGGCGTAGTTAAAAATGTGAAATGAAATTATTTACATTGATTGATTTTTTAGTTATTTACCATTTATTTACACTTACGTGGTACGGAGCAAGTGTTCAAAATGTCCACCGTTTACCACAATGCATAGTCTAACACGGCATAGTAAATTTTGTTTTAAATTGTACAACACAAACACATTTTGTCTCACAGTATAAAATGCTGAGATAATCCTCTCACGCAACACTTCGACACTGTTCACCTCCTCCGCGTAAACTCCGATTTGGGAACATTTCATCACCATTAATTGCGTAAAGTCGCACCATCTCAGTCAATTCGACGTTAGAATAAATATCCATTTTGCGGCGATTGGGCGAGCGGAAGTACAAATAATTTACGTGTCTTCGTTAGATCAAGGTCGCGCGTGGATTGAGCAATTTCGCGTATGCGCCCGCGTCCCCACCCCTGACCTGTGCTTTGCTTTTCGCCGCTGCGTCGGAGCATTAATAGTGATGTGCATAGATTTTGATAACTAAAGTTGTTCTCAAGTAGTCGTAAAAAAAAATTTCAAAATATTTCTTGTAAAGTTTAAGTTCATTAGTTTATTATTTCCTTGGGTTCACAATCAAGTATATAAAGCACTCTATAAGTATGTCCCACTTTCAAATATACAGCCTGTATAATTAAAACGATAAATTCAATCAATATACATAAACATCGTTTTAGGGTTTAAAAACTTTATTTAAATAAAATATTTTCCACCTTAATAGTTCGGAAAGGCGTTCTTTCTCATTAGAAATCTGCGCGCAAAAGCGTTTTTTATTAGAAATCTGCGCGCAAAAGCGTTTTTTACACGCTACCATGGAAAAGGTTTTTGAAATCCGAACTTGACGATGGACTGTGGTGCACCTAACTTTTTCTTGCGATGAAAAAAAAATCATAACGTTGACTACGCGATTTGTCATACATTATTTATGTAATATAAATCCGTTGATATATTTTATTCTTATTATTGTTGACGTTAAATTGCTAATGATAAATAACTTTGTTTATTAAATTATTTTGTTAGAGTTCAACTGTTTTTCTTTCATCTACCATTTCCCTCGCTATGGTGAGGTGAAAAGTTGTGTGTTTCGCTCGGCAGCAAACCCTCGCTACACTCAGGATTCTATTTGCAATCTTAAGACTCCATCGTTTGCTCTGGTTTCAATACAAGCACTCCCGTCAAACAACTTTGCAGCCTTGCATTACAAATAAGTATTTCTAGGTTGTAATATATCCATTATTATTTTAAATACTTTCAGATGTAGTCCGATTCCATATTGCGACCGATAAATAAAAAAGTCTGGTAGTGAGACGCACCTTTCTTGTCGAGATCGAGCATCTCGCACATTGTCCGCAGTTGTTTAGGCTCCATCTTGGTGGTTTCGTCGAGTTTGGTTTTGTACTCGGCCGACCCGATGGCCCACTCGTAGCCGCGGAACTTCTTCACGTTGCGCTTTACGTTCCGGTCGAGGCACAGTTGCTGATGGAACAAAAAAATACGTTAGACATAATAGTGATTAACTCTATTGTCAATTACCAATTCCTGGACTTCGCTCACATCTCGCACGTTCACAAAAATATTATCATTAAAGAAAAAATCCCCGGTTATACTTTTAACTTATGGAAATGATGTTTGATATACCAGGAAATATGATATTTACGGGACTGCGTTCGCAACGAAGCTAGCATACTTTGTTGGTTGCACATACTCCGAGGGCCAATAGTTTTTAAATTGTGTAATATTTTTTGATCAATCAAAACTACCGTTGGGTAATTTTTCCGAAAAATTTAAAACAGGGATTTTTTTTTATATTGGAAAAATATAATATCGAAGGTACTTATCGAAGGTAGATACTATGTTCTACGTTTAGAAATATCTTTTGAAATTTAAGTTAGCGTGAATTATAAAATAAACTTAACTAAAAAAATTTCAAAACAGCAAAAAATAAACATTTTTAATATCTCCATCGTTTTCGTTCAGAGTAACTTAAACTTTGACAGGTGTTAACGTCAAATGTAGAAAATTAAGGAAAAATATACAGATTATTAATTTTTCTAAAAATGTTTTTTTTTTTTTTCAAATAGTATTTTGTACAACAAGTGCATAAAACGCGTCATTTTTCCCGAGATGAGAATATCTACCCGAGCCGCATGTGAGGGTGGATACTTAAGTCGAGGGTAAAATGGGTTTTATGAACGAGTCTCACTCTGCTTTATACTTCGATTGCGAGAAATTTATACAGCAATATAATATTATTTAATTAAAATTGAATGTAAAATTACAACAATTAGACATATTTAATGTGATGGTTTTTTATTTTATGCACTAGAGTAAAAAATCCTATTTTATGCACTAGAGCATAAAATCCTATTTTATGAAGCCTACACCCAGCATAAATACGAACTTTAAGAGCATGAGAAGTGAAAATGGAATTTTTTCCATGACCCAACACTAATCAAAACATTATTTTAATGAATATCATAATGTTTTTACTACACATCTTTTGTGAAAATACTCCACCTGTTCGTCGTCATTATTGATATGAAGAACTTAAACCAGAAAAACAAAAATCAATCAATGGATCAAGCTAAAGCGTTAACATCTTAGTGTATTTAATACTAAAAATGTAAGGTAGCTCAAATCCAGGAGTATATAACTAGTTAAATGAGAATGTCTTTAAATTCAACCACGAAATAGATGAGACGGCAGGTATACTGCCAAGCCAATCTTGCTCTCTGATACTCTGGGCAGCAAGCATTATGCCACAGCGGTCATCAATAATCAACATGTTATGTTCCAAACACCTTACCCCGTAAAGATACTGATGCAACAGCTTCTGGTCTTGCGTCTTAAAGCGCGAGAGCGAAATCTCGACGTTATTGATATGCCCCAGCGGGATGCCCTTGCCGGCAGGCAGCGGCACCGGCGGCTCTGTTGGCTGTAAAAATAGCACAGTTTTACTAACTATACAGATGCGCAACGAACGTACTTGCACAGAGCAACTGAGGGGTACTCGTGGTGAAACGGGAGCCGTGTGTCACTCTTTCCCGCAACACGCTTAGCCTATTTGAAAATTCAATTAAATAGAGCATCACAGAATTTAATGAAAATCCCATATACCTCCTTCTTGGGCTTAGGTTTGGGCGCCTCCTCCTCTTCCTCTTCTTCCTCCTCCTCTTCGCCGCCCTCGTCTTCCTCGTCATCGTCCTCCTCGCCATCTTTAGCTTTCTTTGCTGCCTTCTTTACTCTACATTGACAAACAAAAAAAATATATTAGGAGTCGCCTTGTATTCATTCTAGTCTACGGCAAGTGGAATTTAAGGTTTCCATTATTTCCGATGAAATCGAAGTTAACTTCTCAACAATAATCCATCTCGATACTATTCGTAAGATCTTGAATGTATTGGTTGTAATTAGCGAGACTAAAGCACTCAAAACATTTTGCCTTGGAGCCGATGTACGACTTTGAACCGGTTGCGGTCGAAACGGCGGGGCCCTGGGGTTCGCTCGAGACTTATTTAAAAGGTTGAGTCGCCGACTCAGAGACGGGCTACGGTCACCGCTCTTTGTCGTGGTTGGTTCATCTGGTATCAATTGCTATTCAGCGAAGCAATGCTGCCAGTATGGGAACCTTTTTTTGGTTACAAATTTTAAGTATCTATTGATGAATCCTGTGCTGATCTTTATAGGTAGTAAAATTATGATCATTTTTTTAAATAAATATCTTTTCTTTACTAAAGATTAGTTTTTGTTGAATATTATAGTTAGTTAATAGGAGGAAGCACAAAACGACGTCGCATCGCAGAAATCTACGAGCTCGCACGACGCAGTGCAAGAATTTGCGAATTGCTCCGCATCGCGAATTCCTGCGATGTTAATCTTCTTGGTGTTTTTTTCCTATATTTTCTTATCAATAACAGCAGGCAACACTCTTTTTACGATCCATGTTGCTACCTAGTTTATAAAATACGTTCAGTGCGGTTGATAATCGCCGAAAGAATGGTTAGCAGAACCGTGGCAGTGACATGCCTTGCCACACAAAATCGTATCGCAGCTATACGAGTCGCAGTTTTCTGCGTCGCGAATACGCATCGCGCCGATTCGCAGTTTTGTGTGTTGACCCATAATCCTTCGCTTCCTCCGAGCGGAGGCTTTCAAAATAAAAGGATAATTGAAATATTTGAAACACAATAATGGATACGACCAAACACGACTGTGTAATAAACAACTGCTTTAAAATATGTAAATAGTACAATATCTCAAGATATAAGAAAGAGATATTTATATTAAGAGACACCCTCATTTACTCACTTTTCTTTAGGTTTTTTCACTTCCTTCTCGTCCTCCTCCTCCCCATCGTCACCCTCCTCGTCCTCGTCCTCCTCTTCTTCCTCATCTTCCTCCTCCTCCTCGGTATCCTAAAAATAATAAACATTTATTAGATATTCCTAATGTGGCAAGGAGCTTTAGGGCTACTTTAAAATTCAAACTACACTGCTGGGCATAAGTATACCACTAAAGAGGGTTTAAGATCATAGTCCAATGGTCTAGCCCAAAGCTCGGCAAACTTATTAATCAACAGAGTCAAATATCAATAGTACAGCGATTGAAATTTTGTAAGTCAATGTTTGAGAGTCAATTTTTTAAAACTTAGATAAGTACAGACACGTACAGACAGAGTACATCTTGGTCCGTTGCACCAGAGGTGATATTTGAACAAAAGTAGATAGTTAATTTGTATTAATTTATATTCAATTATTTTTTTGGGAAATTACTCCACTAGTATGTTATAGTTATTAATACAAAGATCATATATTGCTCATAGATGGCGCTACGTATTAGAGACGAAATGTCATTTAATTTGTTAGAAAACTATTCTGCCATATTATTGTGACAACTGCGCTCCGATTGGCCAGCCCGAATTCGAAATAATTGACGGGTGTCGTCAATGGGTGTCTTCAATTGTTTCACTTCAAATCGACCGGTTAACTTGAGCTTTGCTGTAATGGGCGAAAATTGCAAAATTACAATAAAGATTTAATTACCGATGAAATTTGATTCCGTTTGTTTTGTAATTAGATGTTTTGCTGTTTTTCACCACACCACCGAATGGAACAGCACGCCATTGTTACAGATATTATCTTTATTACAATAAATACAGAATATTTTTGGAATATACGGAGACGTACACACAGGTCAGTTGTTGGCGCCGTACTATTTCAGCTTTCTAATTTCAGTGCAAACGAGAGTTGATATTTATAAGTGATGTATCACTGATGAATTACCAGGAATGTATGGGCTTATTTAGTCTCTATTTCTGGTTATATACTCGATGTTCGCATGGCAGTTTTTAATTTCGAGTAATACTTATTTTACAGTAATTATTTTGGACGGAGAACGAGAGTACAGGACCAAGTACTTTCGCTGAGGTTGACTCCTTTCAACTCTCCCACCCATACTTACATACTTTATCGACATCGGTATTTTGTGGAACAGTTACAGTCTAGAGGCTAAAGACCCGCATGTGACTCGCTAGCCGCGATTTGCCGACCACTGGTCTAGCCCATTGCACTTGACTTAAATAATTTTAGTAGCAGTAGAGCAACTTGTGGAAGAGTTCGTCCAGGAAAGTACTTCCTCTTTACCCATTTCTGCCGCCAAGCAGCAATGTGAGCATTACTGCGTTCTGGTTTGGAAGGGTAAAGGTGCTGGTGAAATTACAGGCACATGGGACTTGTCAACTTATGTCTCAGGTTGACGGGCGCGGTGGCAGCGCCTCTCAAATCTTTGCAATTGAATTGCAAACGCAGATCTTTACGATTTAAAGTTCTGAGTGGCACTGCAACCGCTATGGACCGGCGTGTCGCTTACTACCAGGCACACGACTTGTTCGTACCGTCACTTGGTAACATAAACCTCTGATATTCAGTATCTCCATATTATATGAATAATGTACTGAGACTTTTTTATAGCAGACCTGTTCAGTCTTTAAACTAAATAACGGTTGTTTTAAAAGTTTTCACTTAAATCTCTTAGCCAAGACTCCACGTTATTGTTATAAAAAACAGTTGAGTATAAGCTGGTACCTCTTTCTTGGGCTTCTTCTTGGCGGCGGTCTTTTTGGCACCCTTGTCGTTGTCCTTCACATCTTCTTTTTCGTCATCGTCGTGAGTCTCACCGTTCTCCTCCTAGACATATTAAATTCATATCATCTAACCCGTCTCCCAGAAAGCTAGCCAAGAAAAAATTTAATAGCCCTAGTATGGTTTGAATAAACACTTCATTATGGCAACACTAGAACTTGCAACTAATTTGGTGAAGAGTTGCGCTTCAGTAACAACTAGAATTCCGTGATATACATGACGTCTCATGGCTGTGGGATACGCAAGGAAACTACTTTTAATATTGTACCGTCGTTATTTCTGATTTCCGTAACGCAAATGCTTTAGTATTTACTTTAGGATCATGTTGTCGAATATTTTTAAATTGTAGATAGGATATTTTGCTTCATGTGGACATTATTTCGGTTTAAAAAATATATTATACTGCATACAAAGACTTCAAAAAATTGCTTGCATTACCTGAGGATCGAACCGATGAAGTGTGTAAAAAACCAGTATTTTTATGATGCCGAGCGAAAGGGGTAATTATAAGGATTAATTCCTTATAGTAATAACTTCTTATCGTATCGATAGTATAGGTACAGTATAATGCTTGCCACCGTGATAAAAGGATTTGCCAACTGTCGTAAGGTACTCGACGATTGTTGCCCAAATTGCGCCAGATTGCTGTCCTGTACAACAATGGTAAGTCGTGTGGGGAGGCTCCTTTCGTGCACTTCGTAACTTACCACTTACTACAGTACCTACACGCTATGATGGCCTTTTTGACGATCGTCCGCTCATCAAGTTTCGTATTAATTCATAACTACGTTGAAGGAGCTAACTAATGTACATTGTTGTCAATACTAATGTGCAGTAAATTTATGGATGTATAATTTTACGACACAACTCGACATTTGTTTTTCGAAATTCGACATTTTCAAAAATGAAATCTAATACAATCGTCACTTATCGCTGTCCAGCACAACTTCTACCTTTGGCAAACTCGCGATATATTAAGTAAACATTTTTATTTTCGTTTTATTAAAACTATTTAATCAGCTACCCCTTGCAATACTAGTTATAAATCTAAAAACTTATAGATGCGACTCGCATTTAATTATATTTTTTTCGATAATGAATTGAGATATGACCTCACTATTGTAATCTATCAAAACGGCCGGCTAGAAAAAAAGATATGTTCCCGCAATAAAAACAAAAAAGATCCTGCGTGTGATGCGATTCGTGTCGATAAGTAGTAACTCCCTACGACAGTAGGTCTTACTCACTTAGATCAAAAATGTTAAGTGGGATGTGGTCGGCAATCTTTATTCGGCAAAAGTTTAGAAAAGTAACTGTAAAAAATATCTAGCTTAACTAACTTATAACTTTTCTAAACATCATTATTTCGGACGTTTTTTTTTTCTAAACATCATTATTTCGGTCGATGATTTCATCGTCATTTCGGACTACCTATCAGTAATCCGAAATGACGTTTTCTAGAAATAACGTTTGCTCGAATGTTCATAACCTTGAAAGTAATTTTGAGAGAAAAATGTTTTTTCTTTTAAACCTAACTTAACCTAACCGAAACCAATCGTGTCTTTGCGATAAACATCCAAAATATCCTGAAAGACAACGGTTTCGTTATATTTCGGTTTTCGGTGTAATGACAATTCGAACAAACGTTATTTCGGGAAAAAATATTGAAGTTTGTGATAGGTTACCATCTAGTGAGAAATGAATCCTAATTCGTACCTTTTTCACATCATCAGCTTTGGCGTCATCCTTGTCATCCTTGGAGTCGTCGCCGCCCGCGTCGTCATCTTTCCCGTTGGCCGTTGTCGACTTGGCGTCTCCTGTACCAGAACCAAAAATTGTAAATCAATTTATTGCAATATATCAAAAACATAAGGCTTATTTCAAATGAGTCGACTTTACGCCGCAGAAAAAAATTTAGACTCAATTTACATTGCCGCATGTACATGGCACAGTGAACTTATGTAACGTACTATAGCCGCCGTCACAAACTAAGAGGCACCTTTTGATACTTGTCATCGCAACGTAAATAGGAATGTGAACTAAACATGTAGGTAAACATAAGAAACGATTCTCACGAGAAATCGATTCGAAAATTTATGAGTTTAATCGTTTAGATTATTTTTCGGGTCATTGGTTTTAAGTTCTAGATAGAACAATTAGCATTTATATTTTTATTTAAGCGATTTAGGGTTTAATACAAATAATAAATATTTTAAATGATCACAATGACAACCTGTAGTTGTTGTAGTGTAGTTACATTATCAGAGTTTATAAGGACAACTTGTAGTTAAATAGCAAAATTCTGAAGTAAAACAAAAAAGACTTCATAGTTTCAATTTGTATTCACTTTCATCGAAAGAATAGCCAAATTCATCAGTTGAGCTGGTATCACCTGCATGTATTTTAATATTTGATTTTCAATCATATTATCAGTGTTCACATTATCTGCCAAACTTAAAATAAAAATGACAATATATTTTTAAGTGTTTCGGTAAAATTCGGCGGTTAATTGGTTACAATACTATTATTTAAAAAAAACTAGATTGAGGACGTAACTGTTTTTAAGATGTTTCAGACAACTCAAAATTGCATTTTAATTTGGAATTCGTGCAAAAATAATACTTAAAATAATTTCTATCATATTATACAATGCTTCACTAAAATTAAAGTATTTTCTTAAAATCCGATAAGTTAATAATTGTTTATAAAAGCTAAACAAATAATAGTAGATTGTACAACAAGTGCATAAAACGCGTCATTTTACCCGAGACGAGTATACATATCTACCCGAGTCGCAGGCGAGGGTGGATACTAAATCGAGGGTAAAATGGGTTTTATGAACGAGTTATACACTCTGCTTTTCATTTCGATTGCGAGGAAATTAAACATCAATATTACAAATAAACGATTATTTAATTATGAATGTAAAATTACAACAATATTTAATGTGATGGTTTTTTTATTTTATGCACTAGAGCATAAAATCCTATTTTATGCACCCTACACCCAGCATAAATACGATCTTTAAGAGCCTAAGAAGTGAAAAGAGTATTTTGCCATGACAGTCGGATGCACGCGGCGGCCGCACGGCGTGAGCGCGATGAAATTCGTATTCGAGTAAATGCGCCCTTATGGGTATGAAATTACGAATTAGATTTTAACGGACCACTAAAAATAATTTGAACAAAATAATATTGTACTGGACCAACAGCTTGATATGCAGTTTAACACTTAAGATTTAAAATCAACTCTACGCTGCTTGCAATAACAACTATACAAAGCAAAAATTGCGATGATGGCGGAGCTAATGAATGACCCAAGTCTAGTGATGCGAAGTACGTGAATTTGTAATATAGTCTCACATATCATTGTGAGTTTTTCTATGACAATTTAAACTGTATTGACAAACCATTTAGTAGCAGTAGAGTCCCTTTTGAAAGAAAGTTACTAAAAAAAATTTTTTTTTTATAACCAACTCGTTTCATACTGTCTGAGACCCTTATTCACTTGTATTTATTGTTTTTTTTGTTTGTATTACTTGTTTTAAATTTAAGTTGCTATTTTTAAATTCAACTTAATTACATTTACGTTGTTTTGCAAGCTGTGTTCACTCGTAAGTAGTTGTGCAATTTAGATAAGACCTTCACCAAATTTAATTTACAAGTAGTATGATTTTACGTAATAACTGTAAATGAACCAATAAACAAACAAAAAAAGGAAGGAAAATTACACGGCAGTACTGCCACCTTACCTGTTTCTGCCACCAAGCAGTAACGCTAGCATTACTGTGTTCCGGTTTTGAAGGGTAAGGGTGCTGGTGAAATTACAGGCACATGGGACTTGCCAACTCAGATCTTTGCAATTTAAAGCTCTGAGCGACTGCAACACTTAAGGACAGACTGTCGCTTACCATCAGGCCATCGCTTACGACTTGTTCATCCTGTCACTTGGTATTATAAAAAAATCCATGATATTATACTTGTTCATTCATAAGTGTGGGGTTTTACGCAGTGTTTAAGAAACTTATGTTAAGCTCAATTCACATTGTCGCGGTAAGAACTGGAAACGAAATTGTACATAGCAATGAATTTTTAATTACTTGTTTTTAGCTCGTATGTAATTTATACGTTACATAATTGGCATAAGTTCATTATTCAATGGTTACAAAAATTGGCGTCCGTCCCGTTTCGCGGCAGTGTTAATTGAGCTTTAAGTTTGACAACGGATAAAACCACCAGTGACCCCATGTAAATGTGTAATCGTTCAAACTCATCGAGTATATAACCAGAAATAGAGACGAAATGTCATTTAATTTGTTTGAAAACTATTCTGCCATATCGTTACTGTGACAACTGCGCTCCGATTGGCTAGCCCGAGTTCGAAACAATTGATGGGTGTCGTCAATGGGTGTCGTCAATGGGTGTCGTCAACTGTTTCACTTCAAATCGACCAGTGAGCTATAATGGACGAAAATTGCAAAATAACATATTTAATATTTTATTACCGATGAAATGTGATTCCGTTTGTTTTGTAATTAGATGTTTTGCTGTTTTTCCCATACCACCGAATAGAACAGTACAGCATTGTTAGAGATATTATCTTTATTACAATAAATACAGAATATTTTTTGGAATATACGGAGACGTACCACACAGCTCAGTAGTTGGCCTGTCTATATTTCAGTGCAAACGAGAGTTGATATTTATAGGAGCTGTATCGCTAATGTGTTACCAGGAATATATGGCCCTTATTTCGTCTCTATTTCTAGTTATATACTCAATGTTCAAACTTAACTACCGCTTTTGCGTAAGATTTTTATTCAGACCTAATTATACGCTTATAAGGTTTAAATTAAAATGTTTAAATATTTGAAAACTTACACCAAGGCCCCAGAGGTTAATATAGGTAGAGTAATATTTACTTAAACTTCCAAAGAAGTAATACACATAGAGCGGATATCCCTTTGAAATTCGTAATTATTTAGTATTGTTATTACGTAACTTCCTGAGTGTGGAGGTCCCGGGTTCGCTTCCCAATAGGACCAATTTGAAAAACGAACTTTTATAAATTGGTCCCGGGGGTGTGTAGTCTCATTCTCCTTCCGATATCCGTCCGAAACAATTAATTACAAATAAGTAGTACTCGATTAATTCAAAAAACAATGTCAAGTATGAAGCTTTATTCGCATCATGCATCTTTTAATTTGGTCGAGTGTTACTTGTTTGACAGCCCCATAATGCCCTCGTAACGAAAAAAGCACAACTATGCGTACTTATACAGCATTGTGCCTTTTTTCATTCCGAGGGCAGCATATCGACTCATCCATAGAACAAAGATCTATGTGCAAGAGTATATTTCGTTAGTTCTTCTTCGCTGTGAATGTCAAATCGACTGTTGTTCGATTTTATATTTCCGAAACGAAATAAGATATATAAATTCTCAAAACACTTTTACATAGGCCTTAGTTTGAATAACGAAATTATTCTTGTAACATTTGAGTATGGTTTAAAGCACTCGAAATCATACTCAAGTCCCTGCCATTAGGGTCGTATTTCCAGTGCTTGAAATCATACTCAGATCCTGACTTGAGCATTGAGTAGAGTTCTAGAATACGACCCTAAGGGTCGTATTGCAGCGGGCACTGAAAATCATACTCAAGACCTTGCCATTAGGGTCGTATTTCCAGTGCTTGAAATCATACTCAAGTCTACTCAAATCCTGACTTGAGCATTGAGTGGAATTCTGGAATACGAGCATTAGTCTTTTTTCGCTATACATATAATCACATCGGACTCTGTTCTTCGGATGAGTCGATATGTTTCTACATTAGTTTTGACAATAATGACCCTTTCTACCGACTCTTTAGGTATACGAGAAGTGCACTATAAACTATGTGCGATGAGCCCCGGGTTTACATACAGTACCCTCCCAATTTTCCAGATAGGTACCAGAGCTGGAGGAACGCTCATTCCCCGTTGCGCGTTACACAACTAGCGGTTGCCACCGCTAACTTATTCGTATTACTTATTTGACAGTAAGGTCCGGCGCTCACAGACGGGTAGGCTCGGCAGGGGATCCTTCGGCATCCCTTTATGTAAACGCATATTGACGGCAATTATGCCGCGGTATCCCTAGGTACAACGCGGCATCCTTAACCCTTAATTGGTCGCATGGGGTGTTTCACACCCTAATTGCAGGTTTCTAGGCTCATAATTTTTTTAAATTTGAACTTACAGCGCCTGTCTCCAGGTTAGCTTCGTAAACGCGATTGTACTTTATAATTCATACGTAATCTGCGGTCGTTTGTGTATAGTTGTGCTTGGAGAGCGTGTTCGGGGTGCGTGAAAACCCCCGGGACCGTTTGTGTAGACAAAATTCCGTAACGTTAGTAAATATAGATTTTTAGGTGGACAAAAATATGTTGTAGTGACATTTATAGAACGTACATATTGGCATTTCAAAGATTATGTTGTAATGTGGTGCTTTTTTGTTTTTTTGTTTTGAGGTAGCTGTAAAATTTGACCGTGTAAGAGATTGTGCCGCAATTGAAAGGCAAAGAAGTAGAAGCTATTGATAGGGCTTCTGAACGAAAACAACATCATGAAGTCATTGTGAAGTGACCATAACTGTGCATAAGAACAAAGCGAAACCGAAAACGACGGTATTCGCACTCCACCTCGACCGCTACAAAACACACGAGAGGCTTACAAGTGAAAATCCTGAATCGGCATCTAGAGTAGTCCGGTCGCCTTCATGTAAACAATGCCATATAAGTACTAGAATCAAGGACAGAAAAACCAAGACGGAATGTTCGAAT